CGAAGACTACAATGCGTTCTCTCTCCGAGAAAATTGGCAAAATTGACCAAGATATTAGCAATTTTGATCGTAAAAATTTGCTCTGATATAAAAACACAATTTTCACTGAATGTTGTGGTGTATGCAGATATTTAGGGGTGGCTCTTAAAAATTAGTTTTAAAAGGAAGTTTATGAAATGTGCCAACCATCACAGAAAGCTTATGGCCATTGTATGTTGTGAATGGGTGTTGCAATTCACATTATGAATGGTGTCTGATCAGAAATGTGTGTAGGTAATTGGGGACACCAGGTCCAAGATGGGGGCCTACTTCTCCCCAGTTGTCCATTTCATGTTGAAAGGCACTATCATGAAACACATTTGGTCGTACGTGTCACCATTCTAATTTGAATGCATTCAATTTTAAGAAGTTGTTTCTATGCTGTGAGTTTGATCAATGTAAAAGTCATATTGCCAGAACATTATTCTGAAAGTATTTTAACATAATTGAGAACACCTTTATTACTGTAAACAAAAACTACAGAAATATTTTGGGCCACATTGTTTTGAAATCGTTTCAAAATTTCAGTAAGTTCATTGGCTCCATATATCTCTTTCAAAAAATGTTTGAACTAACTATAACAATCCCATTTTCATTCAAATTGTATTTAAAATGTCTTGCTTTGTAACTGTCCCTTATTACCTACACATGTAGGTAATGAGAGGCCTTTGGTGATGACGTCATTAATCATTGTTATCTTATTAATCAGTTACATGATGACCACAATTTCGTTACAAAATAAAGAGAAAAAATACTAAAGGGAATACAAAAATATCTGTATGTGTAACATTGTTCATGTTTATGTAAATTATGCAAATGTGCTTAAGGGTCTTCCATTCCCCACACCTACCCTATCTAAATTTGTACCAAACACGATGAAAGATTATGCAGCACAACTGCAATTGTTGCCCCCAAAAAGCATTTAATATGATTTCAACGTGACATAGATTTAAGAAATTGGCATTTGGCTGGCACATATATTTTATTCAAATTAATATGTTTATAGAGGGCGCTATTTCAAAATATGCAAATAAGCTGGTCATCTATGGCCATGCAACATCACAAAACATTTTGTTAGTGATGGTCCTAGAGAAATACAGACATTTGGCTGCCAAAAATTGTAGAAAAATCCTTATTATATATTTATTATTCATTTTTAAAGGAAAATCATGTACTTTGGCGGCCATTTTGTATGACGTCATATATCTTAAATTGCTCAAGGCTGACAGAGTGTCAGCAATCGGATTCTTGAAAAAGAAGGTCTAGGCAATCAAAATCCATTGAAAAAAAAACTATAGACCCTAAAACAAGGTTAGGCCAATAATCTGCATTTGGCTGCCGGACTAGTAGATAGTACTAGAGTAGTAGAGACCAATGTGTATGAAGTAATGAAGCGCTAATTGGTACATGGTGTAGCTGTAGTAGTCTAATGGTCGGTTATCCTATACTCGGTTATCCTATACCTAAAAAATTGCGTTACTTTTTAATTATATCATTACAAATCTTTATCCTCAGTTTTCTTATTTATAACTGATTTTCCTTATAAAATTAAAAATAATTATGGCGTAGAGGTCTATATAGATCTATTCAACATTGAATGAACGCCAATAAACAATTACCCAACAACAACAACAACTAAGCATTTAGGGTGTTTTATTATTTTCGGTTCCTAACTTCAGTCAACAGCTCTACATGGAGTCTGGCTAACTCGGACCAGGGGACAACTCGGCCCAGGTACAAAAACGATCAGTTTTTGCATTAGGTTAGGGTTAGGGTTAGGGATAGGGTTAGGGATAGGGTTAGGGTTAAGGTTAGGGTTAGAGTTAGGGTTAGAGCTAGGGTAAAATAACAAAAAATGACCATTTTTGTTAGCCCGACTCCATGTAGAGCTGTTGACTGAAGTTAAGAACCGAAAATAATAAAATGCCCTAACGTTAGATCTAAGGAATCCAGGAATCTCCAAAACAGTGGAGGGATTAACTAAGAAGAAGGGCTACTTGTACTACTTCTAGCGTTCGTTCCCTACACGACTGGAGAGCTGTAGGCCTAGTCTAGATATAGACTCTATCCCGTAATTCTCTTGTCATCTTGATTCTTTGCTTCCGTCGTGTTTGCGAAAGCGCTCTAATGCCCATAGGCATAGCCTAGGCCTAGGGCCTTAATCTTACTCTTAGTCTCAACTAGACTAGATCTAGAGGTCTAGACCTATAGATTATGGACCATACGCATAAATCTAGACCCTTCAGGCTTCAGCGCTAATTCACAATCATATCCAGACATTGGCCCGTAACTGCTTGAACGTTCTTGGTATCAACGTATGAAGAATAAGGTAAATAACGCGATAATCTCATTTCTGAACTGCTTCGTGGGATGGGCTCTCGGTGAATTGGGTATAAAGAACCTGATAATGATCCTTAACATAATGATATCATACCGATATCAAATCTGTGTCGGCTGCTACGGTACCATCGGACAGCTGCAGCACAGCTCGCGTGTGTGCGTCGCTGAATGAGGCATGACATCATGCAATCGGAACCGTAGTGCTGTGCACACTTTACTGGCATGTGCCTGAGCCTTGGGGAAGGGACCGTTGATAGATTCCACAGGGAATCTGGAACACGACTGCTTGGTACTTAGGCCTAAAAAAAGAAAGATCCCGTACAGGTATTGCCCTTTAGATGCCAGAACCTGGGTCGGTCGGTTGGATATCTTTTTCTTGTCTTTTTTCTGCCCCAAATTTCATAACCGGGAACGTTGCCCAAATCTCTTTGGTTTCTAGCTGGTACAGTGCATGGTATATACACATACACAAGGCCGGGGTCTACTTGTTTACGCTAGTAGGATTTTGAAACTAGGGGAGAAGATGAGTGAGAATTTGGGAATAATTTGAAGATTTTATGCAAACAAACAAAATACATATTTTTTTTTATTCATTAAACATTTTTTTTCTTAATGTAGATATTCATTGATTTTAAAAACTAACATTATTTTTATTATTGCAAAGTTGAAACTTTGATACGACAAAGTTATCAAAATTAAATGCATGGAAAAGGTCGAAGTAATGATTTTTATAAATAAGAAAAATGCTTAAAGGTAAAGACCAGTTTTGGAAACGCCCCAATTTCAAAAAATGAAATGGAAGCTCTCATTACCAATCATGTGAAAAAATATGTTTTGACTAATACATGATGATAAAAAATTTGCCGGGAAACCGCCTACTAATTCATATATTTGGTAAATTTGTTTCTCTCATGGTCTGTGAGAGATATAGGGTAGTCCCATATACATCTTTCTGTGTATAGTGCTTGTAACTTTACGAAGAATGGGCCAAATTTCTTATCATTTTGATGATTCCAGAACCTTGCAGATGCTAGATGCTAGATGATCAACCTTTTCTGATCGATTCCACAACGTTTCTTTCACAATGCAATCGCATGACCATAACTGGTCTTTACCTTTAAATACAGCCCCGGCATAGCACCTGAAGAGCTCTCTGAACGCTGCTGAGATGTGTGAGATCACAGTATGGACATGATTTGCTCAAGCAGACGATGTCCCATGACATCTCACACATTTTCAGTGCCTGTGTTTTCATTTTCTCTTGAATTCTTTCTCTTACTTCACTACTGTCACGCTAAATGTATAATCTATTGCCTCACTCTAAACCCTGCGCATGGTTTTATTTTGATGACAAATGCAGCGATACAAAAATAAAGGAATCTGTCGCTTGTAAACAAAATAAGACGCCATTGTATATTCAGCTGCACAGACCGCGGTATGTTCGGTGTTTCAAGAGTGAACAAATGCCGTCCTAAATATCATTCCGGGGGTTTTTCAATTTGAAAGTCTGGTTTCTTTGATTGTTAATTAACCTCTATCCTGTGTATTTACAAGCAAAAGATTTTAGTTATCAGAATCGGGTCATATCCCCTTTTGAATGGTTTGAAATGCCATTACATTTATATACACTAAACTCATTATGATTTGACAAATAATAGCTTTGCAATTATGTTCATTCTTTATGGGATGTCGTCTGCTTGGGCAGTATTAGTCCATAGTGTGACGTCATTAAAACATCATTATTTTTCTGGCGAATCTCTCGTATATCCCAGCTGCTATGGAGGTGGTTGTATTTGTATTTTTATAAATCACCCAATATGTAGATGACAGGGAAAAAAATACTTTACAAATTTGGGGGACTACTTTTCAAGCTTGCTTGCATGAAAATAACACTCTTTAATTTGTTTTGCATTGAACTCTATGAAAATTTTGGTGGGCTCTTTTATGACTTTCGGGGGCTCTTTTTGGCATTTCGAGGTCTAATTTGCCCCGAGCCCCCGTGTATTTTTTTTCACTGGTAGTTGACCTAAAACTTGTACGATCGCCATCTGTTAGCTTACCTGTTTCTAGTGATACATTAGTTGACATATTTGTGATTTTCTTTGAATTTCCACTTTTAAAAAAAATCGGTCGCAAAGGGCAATTTTTTTACGCCTTATAGATGAACATTTCCTTATAATTTTGGTTTATGGAAGTACATCTTGCATATATCCATTGCAAACTATTGGTCATACTTTTGAACGGCGATTGAATATTGTTGTGTAACTTCTGTTTATTGTATTCAGGTGAACGTACATATATTTGTGTACATTGACTATTAAATGCTTGGCCTTTTTTTCTGAATTCATATCAAATTCCTTAGCAGGCTTTTAATTTCCAGGCCTTTTGACTATTAGGCCTTCTATTAAAAAAAAACCTGCATATGATATTGTTCAAGTAAGATAGTGTTGCACGATTACATATTTTCAAGTATGTTGTAATAACAAATTCATTTAATTATATTATATCTAAAAATTATCTACGTATGCAGAAATAACAAATGAATATAGAAAAACAATAGTATTGAATAAAAATTGTGAATAATAATAATACCTAATCTTACCGAATTCTGTTCTCTGGAAGACTGCGCCGACAATTGTTTCGTCGGTTGCACATACAGGGTTGTTGGCGTGACCGAGAGGGTTGAGGAGGCTGGGTGAATCTATTCCATCGGGCTCGTATTTTTGCCGTATCAAACATTCTATAGGGGAATTTTCGCAATGTCTGAGGTAATGGACCTACATTGTAATAAGAAATTGAGAAACAGGAAATAAAAGAGTATTGTAAGGGATCAATTACAGCTTTTCATCTGAAGGGCTAGCAAAGAGATGCATTGGTTTAAAAAAAAAAGAAGAAGATCTATCCTTTATGTTGAGTAAATCCTCAAATTTTAGTATCTTCCCAGTTGTACAGATTTAATGTTTTTTTCATGAGGGTTTATTTATTTTTTTTAACAACATGTGAAAATGAGCTGATAATGTTTGAAAAATGCATTGTAAGTTGTAGGTTATTATTTGTAGTGAAACAAAAGCAGGGTCCCTTTCATAAGCAATTTAAAAAAATTATATATCATTTATTTATTCAAGAAAAATAGAATTCATGCAGAGTAAACACAGTATAAATAAACCCAACATGGTTTGAGAGAAGAATCCACCCCCCCCCTCCCCCTAAAAAAGGAAGATGTTTTGACAAAGTAGTTACATAAACATTATAATAAGAAAGTTATCATTTACCAAGTCCATTGCGGAAGGCAGATGACAGGTTTGCAAGATATTACCACATTATTATGTGGTAGTATTTATTATGCATGAAACTTTTTTTGTAATCTGATATCTGATAGAAATAATGTTTTATGATGGGCTGTCTGTACATGGACAAGGGTGGTGAGTAAAACAAAGAAATAAAGTTGCATGTCCTGTACTTTCATGTGATTATATAATTACAGCATATCAACAATTTTTTTTTAAAGAAGCAGAAAACAGACATTTAAATCATATGTCATAAACATGTATCTCATTTTTACAATTAGCAAATTTAACATTTAAGGAGCGTACCATTTTCCATGTGGAGAAAGAAAAATGAAGAAAAAATCAGTAAGGAGATGGACCTAGACATTTTCTATAACATAGCATAGTTATATGACAAAGCTGACTTTTACATTGAAATATATTGGCCACATTGACAGACCTGTTCTTTCCTGCGCTTTAGAATATAAAATGAAAGAAGCTAGTAATGATTGTCTACTAGTTGTGTATAAGTTCTTTGGGTTTCACATTTCAGAGGGCCTTCAGTCCTGAATAGCGCTATAAGTACTTGCTATTATTATTATTACATTCATTAAGTAACGGTAGCTGCTTTAGCGGTTGTTTGTTATTTTTTTCGATTTGCCCCCTCTGTCCTATTTCTACTGCCTCAAATATCACCATATAGTTAATTTTCCTGTAGGTCAGCTATCAGAGTTTTGTATCTGTCTACCTTTCTCTGGTGGGCGGCGTCTACATTTCTTTCAAATGGTATGGTAACTTTACCAACATTATTTTCTTTATATCTTCTCACACCACATTGTATGACCAGATCAAGGCGTTGGTTTGTTACGAAAATGTTAGGGGTAGTACATGTACCTCCAGCTATGGAATAGCCCTGTAAATCGCAATATGCTACGAATGTCCCTAACCCATTGTTCTTTATGGCCTGGTATATAGACTCAAGTATTCCATTGTGGCGCCACATACATTTTGTTTATGAACAGGGTTGGGTAGTATGCAATGATATGATTGAGCGTTCCAGAAGTTTTAGGGTAAAAGAGGCATTTATTGGAACACATTTCCCCTCTGCGAGGTAGGTTATACATTATTGCTTTCCAAGTTAGATTATCATTTTGTACGCTGAGCAATTCTGGAAATTTACCTTTAATAAGTAAAGACCTAATGATATCCCTCCAGTATGTGAGAAAACCATCCTCTATCAGATCATTTATCTTCCACTTAGTCGAGTCCCACGTACATGTACATGTACATACATTGTACAATGTACATTGTTGTAAATCTACATCTTTGGGGACACTAATGCAGTGAGATACAGTGGATTGTTTCGATTATCTAGTTTTGATGACCACTTCGACTCGCGTTCTAAAGTAGAGTCGAGGGCTTTATTAATAGTTACATTGGTGAGCAAACTCGATCTTGAGAATGATGTGCCGTGCGCTTTCCAGTATATATCAGAAAGGCAAGGGATTGCAAGACCTTGAGAAAAGTGGACTAAAGCAGTATTGAGTCCTATATTAGGAATTCCTAACCAGTTCTTCAGGTATCCTTCAATCAAAGTGTCTAATGAGTCTAACTGTAGCTTAACAATTTGTGTACATTTAACATAAATTTCAAGGAAGGAAGTAAATAACGAGTACATGTACTGTACATATTGCAACTTTGTATTCTGAGCCGATGATGGACTTATTGATATATTCTATTTTTCTGGTTAATACAATCGAACTGTCTACAAAGACAGCATTTTTTCTCATTGAAACATGTACTAAAGGAACCTGTACATCAAGACCACTTTTCTTGTCTCCCTTGGGTGGTCTTTATACTATAGACAGGTTTCACTGTATCAGCCTTTATGAAGTAAGTTTGAGATCTCGGCTGATTTACTGCTAATAAAGCAGATTTGAGATCACAAGGATCAATGTGGACTGTCTCTTATTGACTCCATTGTAGTATCTCAAATTGTAAATTTGGTACCTGTAGGAGTACCCCTTCATTTCTATAAGGAAAGTCTACAATACTTGGATGGTTGGACAATTCTTAAAACAAATATTGGCATATGAATACACTAAATTAATGATAGGACAATATGTAGGCCAATAATTTTGTAGGATTTTTTCCCTGTTTGCAGTGCTTCAGTTTACCTAGAACAATTTGGATTGGAGTGGTTAAAGAGAAGGTTGAGTTCTGGGGAGAGGTGAAAAATAATTTATGGCATTATCATTGTTATTATGTAAGTATGGAAGAACATCATTGAAAAATTTTTCCCTGAAAACTAAAGCATGGCTCTTCAAATGTCTTCATATGACAAGTAACAGTTTAAAATAAGGCCCGACTTTTTTTCCACATGTTTGTGACTTTGTGTATTCCCATATACATCTTTCTGTGTACAATGCTTGTTACTGGGCCAAATTTCTTATCATTTTGATGACTCCAGAACCTTGTAGTACACACCAATACTTATATGCTACATGATCAACTTTTTTCTGATCTATTCCACACTGTTTCTTTCACAATGCAATCGCCTGACCAGAACTCAACTTTATCTTTAAGAGGCAATATTAGGCTAGTGCCCTACTATTACCTAATACAAAATTTGGGGGGTAAAATTGAACATTCAAAAAGTATATGGATATATCATAAACATTTACTTACCTAGGATTTAGTTTTGATTGAATGGAAGGCTGACTTGGTGCACTGGAATTTCAAAACAAAAAGAAAAACACAATATAATGGTTTTTATATGTGTACTTGTGTAAAGTGATGCCTGGCTTGCCAAATTGTTGTGTACGGCTGTACGCCCCTGAATCGCAGAGGCATTGTGAAGTTCTGCGGAGATGATTCATTGAACATGTGCACATGTGTCCATGGTAACATGCAATGATAACTATCTCAGATCCAAGAAACCTTCCAAACAAACAGAATGCTTGCATGTAATGAAAGATGAGAAAGAAATAAAGAATGGGAATGGGAAACAGCCCACCTCCCCTGTTGATCTACCCTGTACAGTAATGCTCACATTTGTTGGTCACAAAAGTGTGAATCATTTACATGTATCTTGTGATGCGGCATGAATATAGCTACAGTTTGTGTAATTGGAAGATCCTGATAAGCATTGGTAAGTACACACACATAAGAAACAAAGAATAACATAGAGAAGGCTAACAAGAGAAGATAGTAGAATGATGAAATTAAAGATTAACAAATTAAAAGAGAGAGAGAGAGAGAATGAAAATGAGAAAAAGTGTCAATATGAGAAGATACTTTAAGATAGAAAGGTAAAATGATAGAAGGATAAAAGATATGACAACAATTATAGATTGATAACAACAAAGAATAACAATTAAACTAGAAAATAGAAATAAAAGATGAAAGAAGAATAAGAACAAATTACAGAATATCAGAATAAAAGAAGGAAAGGAAAGGAGAAAAGAAATATATAACATAGATTAATGGATATTACATGTTGGAAAAAAATAATGTAAGAGAAAAACCAACAAAGAATAACACAATGAAAGATTTTTAAAAGTAGAGGTGAAAGGATAAGGAAAAATAACAAGGAATAATATTAACAAAAGAAAGGATTATTATTAAGAAATGAGTGGAAAAACAAAAGACTAGAATAAAGAAGTTATAAAAACAGAAGGAAAATATACAATTTTGCAAGAAAACCTGAACAAAACCATAACTTGAAATTCACAAAACTTTACCTCGAGAGCAGTCCAATGGATCGGTCGTATGTAGATCATTCCAGCGAAGTGAGTGAAGTGAGTGAGGAGGGGTTCTAGACCAATACCTACAGTATGTCCTGCCGGCATGCATAGAGGATGAGTTCTCTAAATTATTTTGATGTTGTAGAGTATACATTTACATACACAATTGGAATTACTTATGTTGTGTACTGTTTTCTGGGAGAAACATTGCTGCTTGCAAAAGGGTTAGTTTAGAAATATATTCCCTTTTGAGTCCTTGACCTATTTGTAGTGATTGTTGTCTTTTATTAGGTGACTCAGCTCAAAAAGTCCTTCAAAGAAATAAAAAGAAGAGACCAATGACAAGTGGTTTGGATTCTTGCCACTTTTGTGAATAATAAAATGAGGTTCAGATTTAGATGGGGTTAGATTTTTTCATACAAGGATAAAAAAAAAAAATGCATACTGTACTTTTTATTGCACCAGGAAGTTACAGTATCCAAATTTAATAATAATAATAATAATAATGATAATAATAATATGTCTTGTTTACCTAGGGTAGCCTCATCAAGTCCCTGTAATCATGTTATTACTCCGGCTTTAGCCAAGCTATCATTTTGATATTCCTCAGTCATATATATGTATGTATGTACAACAATTCCCTTATTAGGAACGCGTATTATCTTTACTCTGGGTTTTGTAGAAAACTGAGATGTAGAGAGTAAAAACAAATTTTGAAATTTCCATGTCAGAATATTTTAATTTAAAAAAAAAATTAAATGTAGTTTATCCACTTAGGAAATATTGTAGCAGTGTAATACATCATCAGTATAATAAATGTTCGCCAGTATGTACTGTATAAGTAGCTACTTTTAGAGTGTTTTTTTTTATTTTATTTTTTTAATCACTCATGGAATCACAAATTTAACAGCACCTGAAAATATTTCCAGCAAGTATTGTCACATGTTGAAATCCCTAAGTACGTAAGCCCCATCGCATATCACACACGGCATCTATACACTATACCTGTAGTATGAGCTGTCACTGGGTCATAGTTTGAGACCGCACTGATCAAAATGGGGCGCTTCAATAGATTATTTTCATTTGTTTCTCCCAAAATAATTCTTCTACTTCGATCATCGTGAAACTCAGTTATGAGCTCATGATCCACGGAAATCAAATGATAATTATTGGAAAGTATGTAATTGGTAGCGGTTGTGGCTTTACTTGAATTCAACAACTCGCGATTTTATCCTTGAACCCTTGATCCGTGAAAATATTGGCTTCTACAGTATTTGATTCTATGGTGTGTTGTGTACTTTACACAGTCATTCTGAGTAAATTTTTGTCCATTGTCTACAGTAGATGTTAGCTTTTCTCTCTGTGCAAAGGTCTGCCTTCATTTGTCTTAATTGGAATTGGCTCTTTACTGTCTTTGAGAACATTATTATCTATTTATGTACTAGTAAAGAATCACACATGATTGAAGGTGTCACTCAATAGTGTGCTGTATTTTTAAATGTCACCAAGTTCAAAAGGATGTCTTATTAACTGGAGAACTAAGTTTTAAGGAGTTATCCCAATCGTCAGACTTGGTCATGTCCTGTTGGCCATGTAACAGTGCATTTAGATTCATTTCACCTACCGAAAACTCTGAATCACATAACTAGTTGTGCATTTTTCCCATTATGGATAGTGAAAATTCAAACTAGGGAGCACTGTTATGATAGGGGTATGAGGAGGCATATGGTCATGATGGGGAGGGGGCAGAGGCCTCTTCACTGAATATCAACCATTCTGTGTATAAATTACACAAGCAACCGAACAAAACACACTTTTTATTATGGTAAAAATATTAATTTGTCATCAAAGTACATGTACGCAACATAAGGTACAATGCATCTGCTGTCCGAATGGTTGAATCCCCTGAACTTAAATGGTAGAATTTTGAATTTTGAAATTCAGAATGTGGTCTTCTATTCCCTTCTTCTTCAAATGGGATGTAATCTTGCAAACAAATGAAATCTCAGGAGAACAATAGTCGAAAAATTCATCAAGGTTACCTAGTTTTCTTGTAAATATTGAACCTTTAAAAATTATTGAACACTCCAGTTTATTGGGGGTGCAATATCTAACAAGAGGCAGATGAAAACATAATAGGGAGAAACAGCAACAAGAAAAAGTCATATTGAACCCTACATATATAAACTACCGTATTTAGGGGCACAGGATAACAAGATCCTGAACAACATATGTGAGGAAGAAACTTAGTGAAAAAATTAAATTGAAAATTCTAATTAAGACTACTTTGAAAATTGTTAAGAAAATCAAAAAGTTTTTAAACTACTTCACCCTGCGTATTAGGGGTGCATACGATCAATACAGATCATGATTTTCCTTACTTTCCTCCCTGCTTTCTTTCTGTTTGTATTTTTGCACCCCCTTCAAATGCTGGCTTTGTCCTATATCTTGCCTTAGTTAGCTGAAACAAAGTGTGTTAAAACATGCTTAGAATACACTATGGATAATGGGTCTTTTGCAACTTTCTGAAACTTGCTAGATTCTTAACAAAATGATCTAAGCCTGAAAGAGATATTTTAAAAATATTCTTGAATTGATGTAAAATATAAGTATCGCACACTTTTCACCAAAATATCGCACATATTAATTGTCAATATGCATCACTGTTTATCATAATTATTTTTGTATCAGTTGGAACTTGGAAATACATGTAAATGTAGTTACATATTTGCTTCACTATTTCATGTGGTTAACATGTTGATCATTTGTATACATACCGGTATATATTTAGGGGTTTGTCATGCTCTGTCAATAAGGTTCAGGTCATGTGCAGGAAATACAGTAACCAATATTTATTTTCTATTGATACTGGGATGAAATAGTTGATTGAAAATTAGCTGAACAAAAATGGGGAGCACTTGAAACAGACTTCACTTTGATATTGTCATTGACTTTGATATGATACTGTTGTAATTTTAGATGTACCAGTATGTATTTCTGATGGTAACTAACATAGAAAAAAGCAAACCTTTATGGCATATAGGACAATAAATAGTAAAACCTACTTTTCACCTATATTTTCTGAGCTGTTTATCCTACTTTTACGAACAACAAGAAGGTGCAGCCATTGGGTCGCCTCTTGAGTCCTTTTGAGTCGGCAACTCTGTCACCCAAGCTTTGTGTTTGATACATTCAAAACTTTCTTCAACATCTCAACCATTGCCATCCAAACATCAATTTTACCATGGATATTGCAAAGGACCAGTCGCCATCTATTCCTGGACACATGCATCACAAAGAAAAACAACATGAAACCCAGGTTTATAGCTAACCTACACACACACAGACAGATACTTCAACTGCAAATCTTTCCATTACTCAGTGATTCTCCAGTTGGTATCCAGCACGCTCATCAGGGGGGCACATGCCATCAGTGATGAGGATCTTCTTTAACAGCAGCTACACCACATTCAAACAACACTTGCAACAATGAACAGCTTTCCAACCCACAAGTGAAGACCAAGCTACCTGTGGCTTTGGCCCCACTCAAGCACCAACAGCCAGGGTTGTGCTTCCGCCTTCCATACTTAGGATACACATCACACAAGATACAATGCATTCTCAATAATGTCAACATGGAGGTGAGACGCTGTTCCTCTGGCAAACTTGACTCAACACTCTACACTCACAAAGACAAGAAATCCCCCCCCCCCCCCAAAGGCTATCTGGCAGCCTCTCCATCAGTGAATCAGGAGGCAGCCTCAAGACCAAAAGCAAGGAACACCAGACCAGCTTTACAGGCAACGAATGGGATAAGTCAGCCATTGTTAAACATACCCAGCAGCTCAATCGACTGACCCAACAAACTCCTCGCCTCCATCAATCTCTGGCATACCAGACGTGTTCGAGAAGCTATTAAAATACATCGAGACAACAAATTTCAACAAGACAGCGGACTAGTCATAAATGACATTAGGCGTCCTGTCCATGACAGACATACATCACAACATTAATCCCCCACTCATAGGCACAACACAGTATTTCCTGCGAATCCATAATCTCTAAATAGATGAACGGACCTGACAGGAAATTACATAAAATGCGCTCAGACTCAGCACAGCGAACTTTGTGCGGTAAACTTTAATTACACCCACTTCCGCTAAATGGACCACTCAGGAGCCCGGAACCATGGATTATGGTTGGTGTGCATAGCAAACCTGTACTGCTGTATAAATACCAACGTATTGTTTCCTAGTGTTATTCTCCTGATGATGAACAGAGCACACTGTTCCTTTCCACGTAAGAATACTATAACCGTAGTTCAGAAAATCTTTTCAGAATTTCTCCACAGAGGAATACTAACAGTTCTTTCAGAACTTGTGTTTTCACTCTTTAACTTGTATATTTTCACAACCTTCTTAATCTTGATTATTCCTTCTTTCCCTTTCCTTTCCTCCTTCTATTTCATCTCATTTTTTGGTGTACACAACACCGAAAATAAAAAAACATATAAAGTATTGTGTAAGTGTTTAATACAACTCCATTCCATTACCATCTCTTCCTTTTTTTTCTATACACTTCTTCCTCTATTCCTCATAACTAAGCAGGTTTTTTTTAATGAAAGAGTATACAGACTTTTCAATATGGCTACCACATGGTGTTGCCAAAAGCCTCAATTTGTGTATCCTACTTTTGTCCTACTTTTTCTTTAGGTCTACTTGAAAGCCTGAGGTTGACAGCAGTCGTCATGGATACGGCCCCACATTAGGATTGTTATGCGAGTGGATCAGATCATCAAAGTGTAACTTGAGAAGTAGGTTGGTGCTAAATACTTTATGCCTTTTTTTGTTTTGAGATAATAAGCACACAAATAATAATTTTAAAAAATATATTTTTAGGCTACCAACATAGTATGTTTCTGTATAGTGACATCTTGGCTAGCTCATACAAAAGCTGATGCATGTACTTCCACTCTAAGTGATGGCCAAGTGGTCATAATGTCATCTTTTCAAAGTTTCTAAATATTTGTTTATGCCTCATCCACTCGAGGTGATGTGTATGGCATTTATTTTTGTTATTCATTTTTTTTTATTTTATTGTTTTGTTTTGTGTTCTTTTTTGTTTTTGTTGTTGTTGTTGCATAAACCCACAAATCTAGCAAGCATAACTAAGGGGGCAAAGCAGGTTGTAAACTTTAAAACCATTTTGCCTCGAAAATATGAATTGCCCCCAAGTACCTATATTTCTCCATTATTACAAATTATGACAACTGTTTTCAGTGAAATGTGTAATTTTTATTTAAAACCATTTTTTTTTTCAAAAACATGATTTTTACCAAAATATATATTTTTTCATATCTACAAGACTACAAACTTTCTAGTGAAATAATTAACAAGAGGCATATGAAACCTACAAAAGAAGGAGCAAAACATTGAGAGTTCATTCTGTTGTCGAATTTTGAATCGTTTCGAAAACACTTTATTTTTATTTGTTATTTTGTTTACGACCTCTTCAAATGCTTGTGTGGATGTGCCCCCTCCCCCATAGAGATGCCACTAAGTACCAAAGAGATAGGTGTCTGTAAGTTTGCGGTTGATTGAAGGACTTTCTAAGTTTCTATCAAAGTGGACATCGCAGCTCATAAGAAACTGTACAGGGCTCATGTTACTGTATTAGTGTCATGCATGGAGCAATGCTTGTAAAATTCAATTAGGGTCAAAGGTAAAATGGGTGTTTAGGGACTCCAAGGGAAACAATGATAGTAGAGCATTGCCATACAACTTCTGAGCTCCACCATCCTTCATGATTCAGATTGCAAATCATGTCCATAACTTGGATGCAGGTCAATCGCAAGACTCCATTGTTTCTGAGCATGCACAATGCCTTAAACAACATAATTCCCTATTCCCAAAATTGCTCTTGATTTTAATGGGGGGGGGGGGGGTACTTCAATGGAGAGCAGAGATTGGATGCCAGTTCTAACCACGCCATAGACTATCTACATGTTTCAGCCTGCATATCATGTCTTATATTATGTCTAATTCAAATGATAGCCTAATTTGGTTTCTTAGCACTCATCATCGGTTGTTATGTATATTATTACCATAGCAACGGGAACTAAGAGAGATTAACATATTAGATAAGTTTAGAGCACCATCTGACATCACACTGTCTATAAAAATAGTCATCAATTTTTAGTAATATATTCTTTTTTTTCATCTCACTGCGTTACTGTTGCTAAGGAGAAGCCAGCCCTGAGCTACCAAAATTGCCACTTTAGCTCATGTCAAAGTGTTAACTTTAACTATAACTCTTTTGTTAGAAAGGCAATGAACTTGCAATTTTTATCATATTTGTGGGCAGTATGAATTATTAATGAGAACTCTTTTTTAGATATGGGAAAATATGTGTTTTGGTACATTTTATATTTTTGGGAAAAAATGGTCGCCATGTTTTTTTAGCAGCATATTTTCAAGGTAGTCCACCTAAAGGTTATGCAGGGTTATGCAACATCCCAAGTCTCAAAACCTTCTAAATTTGGGGTTTGCCCCAGGATATGCTCAGGAATTAAAGGGAAATCCAAACTTGATAGCAAACTACTCTAGAACAAAGGAGAAAAATCAGAGAAGCATGCTGGTGAAAGATCGAATGAATTTGAACAAAAATTGAGAAAATTATAAAGTTGCAATCGCTATGGATATTGACTTTTCAAATTGGCTGAATCAGTAATGTCACTGTGATTTAGTGGGGACAAGTTTCCTGTTCGTTCCAACACACAAAATGATTGAAATTTCAATTTTTCAAAAATGTATGACTAGGGAATGGTCTTTTCTTTTTAGAGGACCTGTAATGATATACTCTCCATAATGAATCCGTCGCACATGTTCAGTTACCCGCACATTAGCCGGTGATAGGACATTTACTGTATAGCTTCAAAATACTGGAATGATCTACCCCTTAGAATTAGGCAGCTGTCTCCATCAGTTATTACCTTCAGAAAGGCCTTAACAATACATATTTTTTGCAGTTTGTACATGTAGTTGTAAGCCTGTTTTTCTTATTACATGTATATGTATTTATGTTATTTTGATTTTCATTCACTGTAAGCGCTTTAGGCCTTATGGGAAAAGCGCTGTATAAGTAATAATAAAAATAATAATAACATATTTTGAATAGTGCCACAAGGATGAAGGCAATTCAGGAGAAAAAGAGAGATACATTGCAATCCACTGACCAAATCGCCAATTTGAGATTTACATAGCTGTAGTGATCTCATACACTGTGTATCAAACATTCATAACATATTTATTATTGGTCCAATACATTTCAAGCTTTTGCCGTTCTGGTATTTCTGATTTTTCTGATTTTTCTGCTTTCATTCAAATGAATTTACAAGGGTTGGATTGCCCTTTGAATGAAATTGCTATTGTTCATAATTCAAATTTTGTATGTTCCCTTCTTAAAGTGTTTCTCTACTTTTTCTTACATTTTTTTATTATTTCATGTTTGTATGTAAATATTTGTAAATTTTCTACTGGTATTTGTCAGTAAGTATTGTTCAATTATTTACTTGTAGGCAACACTTGGCCACAGAAATGTATGTATATTGACGGGGTCCAGACAACTCGCCACAAAGACAACCTGCCCCTGGACATCTCGCCACAATACCCTGGACAACTCGCCACAGGCGAGTTGTCCAGGGTGGGGTGCCTTTTCGGACAAACTCGCCACACTTTTTTCACCTCATGATTTCTAGATCTAAAATGAAATGAAATTGTCATTTTTTCATGATTTTCGTGCTTTCATACGATTGCCAGATCATTGGGATAACTTCTCGGTATATAGATCTAGAGGTCTATAACAGCTGCATTTTTCTGTCCCAGAAATTTTTTAATGGTAGGATACTTGAAGCACTGGCGTACTGATGGGGGTGGGGGGGGGGGGGGTGGGCAGTTGACGCGCGAAATAAAATTGGAACGTGGTTTATTTCTGGGTTAGTTTCGTCAGAGGCGGCATTCTTCGTTGAGGGGGGGGGGGACACTGTACCCCCACTTTTCCAGGTTCCCCTAAAGTGCCCCCTTATCCTTTGTAAATGTCCTTTTCCCTTCTGATAATTTTTAATGGTAGGAATTCATGGAAGGATAGGCCTACTGGAAGCACTGGCGTACTGATGGGGGAGGGGGCAGTTGGCCTGCGAAATAAAATTGAAATGTGGTTTATTTCTAGATTTTCTGGGTGAGTTTCGCACTTTTGCCCACAGTCAGAGGCGGCATTCTTGGTTGGGGGGGGGGGCACTGTGCCTCCACTTTTTCAGGTTTCCCAAAAGTGCCCCCTTGTCATTTGTACATGTCCTTTTCCCTTCTGATAAGTGCCTACTTTCTTTCTCAGATGTTTTAATTATAATGTTACTCATAATTACATAAAAGAACTTTTCAGTCTTTCTTCATTAGATTGTCTTTAATATTCATCATGTAATTTTTCAAATGGGACCTTATACTTTTTGCTCGCTTGCTCGAAAATCGATATTCAGTCCATCACACCAAATTGCGAAGTACGTTGCTTAAACAATATGTTGTTCCATGCAAAGAAATAAACAAATATTGATGTCATTCGTGGTAGTGTATTCATAATCTTGACGAAGGCGTAGGCCTTTACACAAATATCTAAAAATGGTTTTTATTATTGTTGATGTGTCCCTTTGTAGGTGCCCTTTTTTTCAGAAATCCAGCCATTCTTGCGATCATAGGCGCCAGAAGTGGGGGCAGGGTACTCGCCCTCCTCCCAACGAAAAAATGTGTGTGTGTGTGTGTGTGGGGGGGGGGGGGGTGGGGGGTCAAAACGAATTTCCACTCCCCCCCAAAAAAAAAACAAACAAACGAAACAACAGCAGTATAAGCAGTATAATTGATTACTATTTAGTGACCAAAAAGAACATACAAAAATAATAAAACCTGAATTGAATCAAATTAAAATGATATTCCATGTATCCGGAAAATTTATTGTGAGAGGACGGGAAAGCGTGTGTGTATTTTTTATTATATGGGTAGATCTATCTTTAAACTTAAAGTTAAAGAACTTCTGGAAAACTTTGCTATAAAAAAAAAATCAAGAGGTAGAGAAAAGGTAATATTAGAATGTAAAGATACGCCAAAGATACATAGCAGCATTAAAAAGTTTCCTGAGACATGAACTTAAAAATCGAGAAGTTATCCGGCGATCGTAGTCGTAACTCGTAGTGGCTTGGGTTTGTCCAAAATAGATTCTTATTGCGGGTCTTGTTGCAAGCGCAAGGAAAATCATCTTTATTCTTTAGAACTCTCAAAATACTCACAATTTCCATGTTTCCTGTCATGACTGTGTTCATAAAAGCACGAAAATCATGAAAAATGACAATTTCATCTAAGATGAGGGATTTTAGATCTAGATATCATGAGGGGAAAAAAGTGTGGCGAGTTGTCCGAAAAGGCACCCCACCCTGGACAACTCGCCTGTGGCGAGTTGTCCAGGGTATTGTGGCGAGATGTCCAGGGTATTGTGGCGGGATGTCTTGGGGCGGGTTGTCTTTGTGGCGAGTTGTCTGGAATTCATATTGACATGTTTAATAGTATTGGCTTTTTGTTCTTATTATGATATACCAAGAATAATTCAAGCCATGATTTTAGGTTGAGGCAAATGGGAGACACATACTACCTTCTGTCTACCAACATGATAGTGTGTCAACAAAATCCAAAGGAATGTCTTTTCCTTTAGAATCCATAGTTTGGCTTATTGTGTAATCCAGTCATTAGCTCAATAGAATCTTGTTGTAAACCCCCTGTGGTATTTGGATACCATTATGTGTGAATGCTTTGTATTGTGTGCAGTGAGGGATAGAGTACTGGGAGAGTATTTCAGAGTTGCACCTGCTCAAAGTGGTACAGTCAACTCCACATACTGGTAAGCTGAAGTTGCATGTGTTGAATAATCCCAAAACCCCTACCTATTTTTAAGATACAGATAGATACATGTTATTATTATTATTCTTACTCAGTTATATATTAGTAGATGAGTACTCTGCTTAAAATGAGGATCTCCAAACTAATCCAGACTATTTTACTTCTTATAACAAACCTGATAACAACTTTCCCAGACAAAAAGTCCCTCTAATCTCCATCACAAAAATGAGGGTATTGTGTAGGTTGAGCATCATGTCGCAGGTGTGGATGCATGTGTGTGTGAGAGAGAGATATATATTTTCCTGTTTTGTATATATTCTTTTTTTTACAGCCATGCCAACAGATACTTAAAATAGAAAATACTTCAAGATACACTCTCTAAAGTATGGACAAAAACACAAAAACAAGACAAGTCTATTATCTTGTAAGTTTTCATGTGTGGGTGTGTTATTGTCATCATACTCATGTAGACTCGACACATAGCATATGCCTACATAGTAGCTGTGAGACTTGAGTGTTTGGCCTAGTTTTGTGTTGCCTTCTTTGAATTTTCTATTTCTAGCTTCCTTCCTTTCAAAAATAGTAGCATGCATTATACAATTTTTTTAGTTTACATGTTGCACAAGAACGTGTGTGATCAAATATTTTGAAGTAAACTCCTCTTGTGCATTGTTGCTCTTAAAAATGTTTCTCACTGTTCCAGTAAATGTAAGTGAAAGTATTATATTTTGTTTACAGTGATTGTGGAAAAGAAAGTGTTCTTGAGTCACTAGTTAAGAAACTGATGTGCAGTTTATCTGATGTTTATTTTGTTCATGACAGAAGGCAGAGTTTTTGTGTGTATCTTGACCCTACTCAACCCTTATTTGAAATGGTACCCCGGTATATGAATATATCATTGCCTTATTACATTAGGTCCTGTTTATATGATTTACGTGGTAACTAATTTTCTTAGTTGTCTTTTAATGACAAATGGCTATATTGCAATCATTTGAGTGATATTGCTATTTTTCCACTTGTATACTTGTACTCGAAGCTTGTCAGAATGTTTGTACTCCGGCCTCCTGATAATCTGTAATTGTTGTTTTTACATTAATAATTAAATGAGACATCGGTGACCTAGCTTCAATGTTTGTATAAAAGTCCATTCCAGGCAGGTTGACTAGATTTTGAATCTAAAAATATGGGACTGTTGTGGAGTTTGGTGTTGGTGGTCAGGCACTGCACAGATGATCAAATGATAGTCCGATGGTGCAAGGTCCAGGGAGTAGGATAGGTGAGGCTATAACTCCAAGCCGCATTCAATGGCTTTGTTGAGGGCTAGCTACCAGGCCCTTGTTTGCCACACCTTTCCTCAGCTTCCCTCCCCTCTTCTGAATGATCACTGTGTAGAGCTCCCCTAGCTAGTAGTTAAGCCTAATAATCGCTGTTGATTGTGTCTCTTACTCAAGGAAGTCCACCACTGTGGATAGTGATTATGTGGAGAAATGAAGGGGTTCATACAATCAAAGATATCTCACTTCAACTCCTTATGGTTGGGCAATGAACTTATTGAATGTGCCTATCCTTCAAGACAAATTTCTGCACAACCTTACATTGTCATCCATTACTGCCTGGGTCTTCATCAACACTCCCCTGATCTTGTCCAGCTTAAAGAGAGATGCCCATTGCTTTACAGTCCATACCAGAGAGATAGCATTACCTGGAGGGGCAAATATGTTTATCTTTAGGCCTCAACATCAAAGTAAATATCAAAGTTTACTGTTGAGTAGGCAAGAGCATTGTCCCCTAATGTTACCAGCAGCTTCTCATGGATATCCTTTGGTTCCTTCTCCTAGCTGGAGCACCATGACATTGATGACTGCATGTTGCTGACCAACATCCATTCACATAGTCATAAGTTAAAAGTCCCAGGTATACCTAGGTCCCCACCTGATGGACTTAAATATTGTCTCCTGTAATGGGAAAGATGAAACATTCATCAGACATACCTGCTCCTTCATAGATGGACTATGAATGTATTGAACGCCCCTCATAGATTTACATGTACATTTACAAGGTTAATCATAGTAGTGAACATCTGACAACAATCTGTTTTCACTGATTTTTGTTTTCTTGCAGATCTCAACTGGGTAATTTTAAGGATTGGTCAATAAAGATGGGGTATGAGGTGACCCGCTTTGATGGTGAGGTGGATGAGGAACTCATCTGTCCGATCTGTAGTGCAGTGCTGGAGGACCCTCAGCAGGTATGGAAATAATTGTTTGAATACCTGGTTAGTTTCATTGAAACAGTTTGAATGTTTAATACTTGTATTTTATAAAATCATGACGTATATCTGTCCTTATAAAATGATAGGTTGAGAGTGGATGTGTGACCTGGCATCTATGTTTCTTATTATGCGTGACTAGGTACATGTTGTATATCATAAGATGTATACCTGAGTCTTGTCAAAGTCCCCATGAGGACCCAAGATGGTCTGACTTTTACAAAGTCTTCTTTAAATTGTCATTTTAGGCACCAGAGTGTGAACATGCTTTTTGTTCTACCTGCATCCAAGAGTGGCTCTCACGTCAGCAGACCTGCCCTGTAGACCGTAATCACATAACTTCTCAGCAGCTCAAACCAGTGCCTCGTATCCTGCGCAACCTCCTTGCCCGCCTCCAGATCCACTGTGACAACGAGGGCTTTGGCTGTGCTTCCATCGTCCGTCTAGACTCCTTGCAGCAGCACCTCCAAGAGTGTGAGCACAACCCCAAGCGTCCTGTGCACTGTGACAAAGGGTGTGGTATGGTCATCCCTAAGGATGAGGTCAAGGATCATAATTGCGTCCGGGAGCTGAGACTCCTGGTACAGAACCAGACCAACAAACTCAGCGAGCAGGAGACAGAGTTGACTGAGATCCGCAGCCAACTTTCTGAGCATCGTCGTGAGATGCAGATGCTCAAGGAGTACATCCGTGCCATACGCATCTCCAACCCGAACACAAGTCCATCAGTTCGTGCAATCGAGGATGAGATTGAGAACAATGAAGTGGTGCGATGGGTGAACTCCATGCCCCTTGCTCGTGTTACTCGCTGGGGCGGGATGATATCAACGCCTGATGTTGTACTTCAGACAGTCATCAAGCGTTCTCTCCTGGAAAGTCACTGTCCAGCACACATTGTTGCTGAACTCATGGAGAATGCACATGAGCGCAACTGGCCACCAGGGCTTAGCACCCTGGAGACACGTCAGATGAACCGTCACACCTATGAACAATACGTCTGTCGTAGGATACCCAGTAAACAAGCAGTGCTAGTAATGGCATGTGATAATGCTCACATGGGGGAAGATTTCACATTAGATCCTGGTTTGGTCATGATCTTTGCACATGGGATAGAATGATCAATTGAAAAATCCAAGGTCACATTGTAGAATGCAATATTCCATGGAAACAATAGAAGAGAAAAGTGAACAATCTCGACAATTGAAGAATTATTGTAGTTTATCCAGGTTTATGCAATATTGCAGTTTAAACAGTACATGCTCAAATTGTGATTTGGGTTTTGTGTCTCCTGATTCTAGTTGGTCATGCATTTTAGTATGTTTCAGGCTACATGTAGCTGTGGATAATAGCTTCTTGAACATGTATGATATACATTTGCCTTGAAGGGAATCAATTTGTTATTTTCTCCACGTGTAGAGCTTTATAGTTTCTTACAATTTCAAATTTGTGTTCTTTTACAGAGTTCAAAATGTCATTCTCAAATATGACATTCATTGCTGATAAAGTTTGCTTTTCCCATGTTAATAATCTAATTAGAACCTACAAAACATATTTGCATATATCTTTACCACTTATTTAAATCTATTTTCTTAGCTGACTGAGCACTTGTATGATCCAGAAAGCAGTGAAACTGTGAAGAGCCATTTTTACTAGATTAAACGAACATTGATTATGAGTAATCATCAAAGCTAAGGAATGGTTGGCTATTAATTTTATTAACAAGAGGGTAATTATTGTTTTTCATATGTGTCTTGCCTGTGGCTTTGCAAATTTATTTCATTTTTCTGTGTTTTTCTGGCTTGCCGTAATGTATAATATATAGAGGTATATCACTTGCGTAGTAATCTAGAATAAAGCTGAGCTTATAATCTGTTACAAAATAATTACTTAAGATATAATGGCATGTTATGTGAGGTCAGGCTCCAATGAGTATGACATACACACTACTATTGGCATCTGGTGCATTGAAATTGTTAAAAGATATGATTAGGATTTAATTATTTAATTTCTAGAAACAATGAGCTGAAGGCCAAAGTCAAATATCATGCTTAGTTTTTGGGTTGGTTGCCACTACCTTCACAAACTAAGCCCACCTTGTTTATTTCAAAGGTTTTGTCATTGAACAATATTTCAGAGGTGTTTTTCTTTTTGATTTGTAGCGGTCACCCCTAAATCGGAGGGGGCATCCCTTAGTATGTTTGCCCATTTACAAGGAAATATCTCTAAAATATTGTGTATTATGATAAAAATCTTTCAAATAAACAAGGTTTGCTTAGTTTGTGAAGTAGTAGCAGGCAAACCCCTCTGTCTTTACTTTGGTCCTCCGCTTAAATGTATGTGTTTTTTTATGAATGAAAACAGAATAGAAAAGGAAAAAAAATAGGCATTCTTTTGTGTAAGGTTTAATAGGATGAACACATGATGTGATAAGATTCCTTTTGAATGCTGACACATGCCTAAGCTTTTATAGTTCTCACACTCTGAATGGGTATACATATATATATATATATATATATATATATATATTTATAAAATGTACTAAACCTGGGTCAAGAGAATCATAAGAGTTGATATGGCTTATCTTGTTCCTTGTTTCAGCACTGGGTCATTATTTTCAAAGTAAAGACCAACAACAGGGCCCCATTGCATAAAACTTACCATTGATGATAACTTTGCCATCAATGGCAACTACCATGGTAACATGGCTCAACAGCTAATCAAAATCAAAGTTTCCATGGTAGTCACCATTAATGGCAAAGTTACCATCAATGGTAAGTTTTATGCAACAGGGCCCAGACTAAACAAAAAAATTACACTACACCAAATGACCAAGATTCAGTTTGGAGTTAGTCTAGGGGTGTGACTGAGGTATAAATCTTTTCTTTTGTTTGTTAGGAAGGCTGGTTGTTACTAGTATTCTTTTTGGTTCTGTTCTCATTAAAAAAAGAAAATAAGGGCTGATGCTGGTGCAACATACCTCTGGAAATGGACAGTACTACACGCAAATGGAGCAATGAGGCTCACCTATTGGATAGATTTGACTTTCAAGAGTTTACAACTACAGATTTTCACAGTTTGTTGTAACATTAGATTTCCATGTACTTGTACACACGATGAGGTTTCTTTATTTTAAATAGTTTTTTTGATGCTAATCATTTTGATTTCTTTCAAGATTTGAATACATAAATGATGAGAGGCCATTACACAAAATGTGCTTTAACAGTGTATTAGTTATCTGCCAACACTTTAGTGTCATTAAAAGTCACCTGTATGAAAATATTTTGTACATGCTTTTGAATTGTGTGTTGCCTTGCCACTTTGTCACTTTGAAATATGAGCCTGTAAGTTATCATCAAGTTTGCATCGTATTTAGTTACATCCATTATGTGAACTTGGAGAAAGTATTAGCTTTTAAACCAGTGCTTTTGGCAAACACATTGGGGATATATTATGTGAAAGTAGTTGCAGACAGACAGAGATAGTTTTGTGGTTTGATGATTTTATGATAGTAAAGCACTCTGCCATATTTATCTGATTCCTGTTTTCATTGTTGGCTATGAATATTCATGATTTCAAGGAAGTACTCTCTTGCCTTATATGCTAAATAGTTTAATTTCCTGAAATTACACTGATATACAAATGTATATCAGTTAAGAGATAAGGAGTATGAAGAAGAAGAAGGAAAACATAAACACCTAGGCTAGTGGACAGAACTCAAGTTTATCTTTTGGTCAGTATATGCTATTTTCTAAGTCTATTCACTTAGAAAAGAGTGCATAAGGAATCTAAATCTGACTTGGGTTTCCTGCACAGGATTTTTATGTTGTCCTTTTTGTTTTGATATTCTTAATATTGTTCAACTGTGAATGCCTGGTAGTTTTTTTGTAAAGTTGAATTTGTATATATACTAGCTGGATGCAATTTATCTTTTGAAGGTACTATTATGCACCTGAGCTATAGCCTGTAAAGTCATTCCAACATTTTATGAACTGCATGATAACTCGGTAATATATGAAGAGGGAAATATATTCATATTAACAAATTGATATCTATTCTGTATGTATCAGAGTTATGAAGCAAAATGTTGTGAGCATCATAAAGCAGGAAAAATAACCACCACCACTACTACTATACATAACAAGTAAGCAAATAAAAAGTACCTTCAAGGACGAACCAACTACCAAACAGAGGAAACAATGTGCAGCTGGTAGCCAGGAATTAACCCCCATAACTCTGTCCAATGATATATTTCTAATGAATAAGAACTTGTAAGGACTCAAATATATTCATATTAACAAATTGATATCTATTCTGTATGTATCAGAGTTATGAAGCAAAATGTTGTGAGCATCATAAAGCAGGAAAAATAACCACCACCACTACTACTATACATAACAAGTAAGCAAATAAAAAGTACCTTCAAGGACGAACCAACTACCAAACAGAGGAAACAATGTGCAGCTGGTAGCCAGGAATTAACCCCCATAACTCTGTCCAATGATATATTTCTAATGAATAAGAACTTGTAAGGACTCAAATATAACACAATTATGGGCCCAGCTCATATAACCCAAGTGCATACAGGCGCATTGATCTATGTACTGGCAAGTCACCTTCACAGTTTTGTTAGTGTTGTGAAACTCGCAATGTATCTGTATCAAAGGAATAGAAATATTATAATGGCATGCAATCCCTAGCATACAAATATGTGTGGGGTGATTGGTTCCCTCTGTACATTCACTGCCCTTCAAAAGTTTGGGTACACTTGTAATCAGAACTGATTTGTCAAAATCGCCCACAATTTTGTTTATCTAATTTGTAGTACTGCAACAATTTGGTATCAAACTGAAGAGTAGACATCAGGGTTCAAGTTGACACCAGTTTAACAAGTCTAGAGTGTTTCAGGTAGCAGTCATACATGAAAAAGGGCAACATACCCTCATCACCGTTCAGTTCTGATTTCATGTGTACCCAAACTTTTGGAGGGCAGTATAATGATAATAATATTTAATAATAGGCATTTCTATAGCGCCGTCTATCTAGATAATTCTATTCCGAGGCGCATTTATTATTACCCTGACTTTAGCCTAGCTGCCGTTTAAACAGCGCTCCAGCATCTCAAGGAATTAATTCCTGCCAGGTGCCCATTTACATCACCTGGGTTGAGTGTGGCAAATGTAGATCAATGTCTTGCCAAAGGACATTAGTCCCGCGGCGGGACTCGAACCACGAACTTTGTGATCAACAGTCCGACGACGTATCCACTCGACCACGACACCTCTACAAGTATGTTGTTAATGTAGACAATTTAAATCTTATGTTAGTAGAATGCAATTTATAGAAATTAAATGCCTGATTTCAGGGGTTTGATTCTGTACATTACAATATCCTTTTCACTGCAGGTCATACAGTTTTAGTATGAGTAAATAGCCAAACAATATTTAATTGTTTATTGAAGCTGTTGGCTGTTGCTTTTCTGTGTTTTGTTACAATATTTGTTGTTAATTGGTGAAATTGACTCGTTTCCCTGTGCAAATATTTACTGAATACTGTTTATATATATGTATTATGTCTGTAAGATTTGTATAATAAAACACTTCTAAGCCTATCAGATGCTTCATATATAGGATAATCTAGTATTTGTATGTGACATTTCTGGAATGAATGTCTGTGATTTGGATGGTCAAGAGACCTATGTTACCATCATTGGAAGAATTTACCCATTTACAGTCAAGTTATGGTCATTGGTAAATAGGTGATTTTCATTGTAGCTGGTTATCATCTGAATATGGCATGATGGTGGTAGTGAGGACTGACTGACTGTGATAAAGAGGGTATTTATGTGAGCAGTGATGGTAGTGATAAATGTATGAACAGTGATGATAGTGATACATGTATGAGCAGTGATGATAGTATAGTAATAATCAACCAATCAGATGGCTGGATTTCTTAATTTTGAGGTATATAATGATGAATGTGACACGTGTGAATGGTGTTGACGTTGGTGAATATGTTAACTAAGGTGATTGCATGTGTGTGTGTGGTGCGAACTGGAATGAGAAGTTCAGGACATTCGAAGTATCATTTTTGTCTCGCCTACATAGCTAATGCGAGAAATAGGCGCCGCTTTTCTGGTGACGGTGACGTCGGCGGCGCGCGGCGTCAACATCAGAAACTTACCCTGGGGTGGGGTTATGTTTTTGAATTTTTAATATAATTTTGAAAGTATAAGTTCTTATTCAATGAAACTTGAACATAAGGGTTACCAAGCATCACCAATCGTGTGATTAGTTTTTTATGTGACAAAGTCAAGGTCAAAAGTCATTTCAGGTCTGCAAATCTAGACTTTGTTGTGGCATAAACATCAGATTTTGAATTTTTAGCATTATTTCAAAGGTTCACATTTCTTGAAACTTGTACCCAAGGGTTGCAAGTATCACAAATGATATGACACAAATTCCAGATCACAGAGCCGAGTTTAAAGGTCATTTTAGGTCAGTAGACTTGGATTATGCTTTTACAACTTGATATGAGAATCAAGAAATCAAATGTTGTTATTTGTTCATATTTCATGAAAGTTATCAATCTTGGTACAAATAATAGTAAATAATTGATTTTATGATTCTTCGTCAATATTCACTTCAAAATGCTGATTATATTCAGAGGATTTCATTTTGGGGGGCCTGCTAATGGGTCACCCTGCCTATAAATAATGTCCCAACCTCAATTTTGTATCATATCGAATTGCGTAATGCAGGTGAGACCGCCAAGAGCGTGTCCTTTGTTATTAGGAATTGATGCTGATGACAAAAATGTTGGAATAAACGAAACTGGAGAAGAGGTGAGATTATGATTTAACACATTAATAAGGGAATCACGCTGAACATTCAATTTAATTAAACTAATACTTTATTATCCAAAATCATACATTGAAATTTGTTTTTGTTTAGATGCTTTAAACGAGATTATATATATATATATATATATATATATATTTTTTTTTTTTTTTTTTTTTTTTTACAGACAATGGATATGACGAAAATAAAGTATAATGATAACAATTATAGGACAGGGGAAATACAAAATATACACAGATAATTGATACGACTATAATACAATATCATGTTAACAGATATAAAACACCAAAAGAAAAGTACAATATGAGGCACGCTGGAGATAATTTCTCTGTTGTTTTGTCGATAATGCTAATTTATAGCTAAGACAAACTAAACCCAATTGATTAAACGTAAGTAATCAATATTGATGAAAAGAAGAGTGGGGAAAAATAAAATCAAAATATCACATAAAATTACATGTTCTAATGATCTTTATTTATTTATTTATTCTGTTGATATTTAAACAGATATTTCAGAAGTTAGAGGAAAAATTAATCTAAGTGTGATCCCTCGATCTTCTTTTCAATTTTAATAATTTATTTTTCTAGAATAGTCGTTGGAAATAATTTAGTGTTTCGTTTCTTTATATGTTATGATGTTTGTATTTCATATTTTATGATCGTAAATAAAACCAAACCAAACCAAACCAAACCAAGTGTCATAGAGCAATACATATACAAATGTTCTGTTCAAAAGTATTCCCTGGTACCACAGTTTTCATAAACAGTCAAATAAAGGTCCGTATGTTCTGATTGCTACTCGGGGTGATCATGTCATCGAGAATTTAACTTATAACTCATGAAGATTACCAAAGACCCATCTAGTAAATAAAATTCCTTAGAAGAATACTCGATTTTAATTGTCTTATCCACAGTCTCTCTCTCTCTCTCTCTCTCTCTTACACACACATACACACCGCGCACACACACCCACACACACTTTCTCTCTCGCTCACTCGCACGCTCACTCGCTCTTCTCTTACTATTCGACTCACCCTCTCATTTTTTTTCTTCCTCAGCGCCTTTTTCTATAATTCTCGAGTTTCGCAGTTATTTCTCCTTTTCTTTATAAAATAGGGACGAAATGTGAGCCACTAAAATACGGGTCCTGTGACGAATTTCCCAATGGTAATCGGATATCTTTTGATATATTTGGATCTGAAAACTCCTGATACGTTTTGTATGTGAATTCATTTAAATTTGTTTGTTTTCACTCGTTGAAAATAAAATATCTAGATTGATATCATAGTGGGGCTCAAAGAAAGAGGAAAAGACGGGGTCAAAGGTCACCACACGCCTACGACTGCATTAATTGCAATAGGATTAGCGATTCAATTAAAATAATAATTACGTCTGACTGCCGAATGACTTAAAGAGAAGGTTGAGTTCTGGGAAGAGGTGAAAAATAATTTGTGAGCATTATCATTCTTATTATGCAAGTGTGGAAGAACATCATATAAGACATGTTCCCTGAAAAGCATGGCTCTTCAAATGCCTTCATATTCGAAATATGTCATGTAACATCGTAAAACTCGGGGGTAGGATTTTTACGCCACGTGTTCGTGTAGTCCCATATACATCTTTCTGTGTACAGTGTTTGAAACTTACCAAGACTTGGCCAAATTTCTTATCATTTTGATGATTCCAGAACCTTGCAATGCACACAAATTCTTATATGCTAGATGATCAACCTTTTCTGGTCGATTCCACACCGATGCTTTCACAATGCAATCGCATGACCAGAACTCAACTTCATCTTTAATAATTATTAATATGTACCAGTCGGAGAAAAGGCCAAAGCGGCTTCTAGTCGATGGTCAGTCCCCGGTGGGGTCACTCAATGTGACTTCCGGACCGCATGACCGTTACCAAAATCGCGGAAAAAGGGGTCAATTTCAAGCAATGTCCGCGGACAAAATATTCCTCGAAATAAAGAAAATAGGGGGGGGGGGGGCACAGGTGTCCTCGAAATTGATAAATAGGGGTCAGGAAAAGGGAAAAGAGAAAACCGGGAAGGTAAAAGAGAAAACCAGGAAGAAAAATTCTCGGAGCCGAGTCTTGTCCTTGAAATATGGTAAAATAGGGGTAAATTTGCGAAAGTGTCCTTACAATCTTATAAATAGGGGTATTCCAAAGTACGATTTTGTCCTTGTTTTGACGTAAAAAAGGGGGTTAAATTTCACAAAATGTCCTTGAAATTGACCGCAAAAGGGGGTTATATGCATTTGTGGTAACGGTCATGCGGTCCGGAAGTCACATTGAGTGACCCCACCGGGGGTCAGTCAGGTAACGATCATGACGTCATTATACGATTCTCAGCCGATGACACCCTTATATTTTCATAGTCTGCTATAATTATGACAGCTTGGGATCTCCATTAAGAATAATTCATATTTTTAGTAATTCCGTATCTACTCTTTCTGAGACGTGGAAGCTAAATAGAAAACAATAACACGGAACGAATAGAAAAAATGGGGGGGGGGGGGAGGGAGAAAGAGAGAATTACAAAAAAAAATCATACATTTTCGAAGAACATCATAATTCGTAATATACATGTAGGTAAAAAAAACAACCACGCGGAACTGTGCGGGATATAAATTGCTTAAATTAATAAAATACTATCAACGGCAATGATGTTCAAACAACAATTATAATTGTGTTTATATACTTTATGAATATGAATATAATCACAATGGCACTATTCATTTTACGTTTTCTACAGTCAACTAATCACGTATATACATTGTTTATTTTCACACGGGTGAAATGAGCATTTTTTATTCGCCTTTCTTGTCCTCATGGGTCTCTGCTCTGTGGAGCCTGATAAAATGAAGAGGAAATAAGAAACAAGTAAGAGTAATGATTGAGAAAGCTATTTGCAATTAAATAATATCATTTTGTAGTATTTTGTTTTCGAGAATATGCAAAAGAGCACTGCAATTGTCTTTAACAAAATCCTCCTTTGGCAATTCAAATAGCACTGTGCATAACGTGTAGAAAGCGCAAACATTACAACGATGTACTTTTTGTCATTGTACATAATCCGAACATAATTACTGTCCGATATATAGGCAATAAAATGGGGAAATGACATTGCCCTGAAGTTGATTTCTTGAAAATGTTTGCGATTATATTATTATAGTAAATACTGGATCTGAACAAATGTGGGCGATTTATTTCTTGTGAAAATTCCGCTGTAGAAATACATCGGTATATTTTGTTGATCCTAAATGAAAAGATTTCTGTCAGTGTGCGGAAAAAAAGGGAACATTCACTAAACAGTGCGTCCTAGAATATACGAAACCCCGAAACAAACGCCTATTAATTATGAGCAAACTTTAAGCTGTATGAAATTAATGTCTTGCTTGTCGTTAAGGAGAAGTAGTGTGCTAGCAAGTAATAATTTGATTGCATTAATCCATACGCACTTTAACAAACAACAGTGTTTTTAAATGGCATGTCAATATCCAGATTTTGCGAGTTTGACGTACCAATTTCAAAACAACGTTTCTCAGTGAAGTGTTAATGGACAATTTGAATCAACGTATTATTTAAAAGCATTCAACTTCTTCTTTATGAAAAGTTCGAAATCATAATTATAAAGCAGTTTGTTCATAATATCTGTTTGTTTTCAGGTTTCATTTTTTTCTGGGATGCATTTTAAATGCCATTGAAAACAGACTCATATATAAAAATATATATATTTAAATATAATGATTAAATTAATCAAGAACCTGAAAATTATAAAAAAAAGCATTTAGAAATCAAGCTTTACCGAAATAATCTGGAATACACAGGCGTGATCTTGCTTACTCCGAATGAAGCCATCAGGACATGAGAAGATGTCTAAAAACAGAAGATGTACATTTTTATCGTCAAATTATCATTATTATTGTTATTATTAAAATCATGATTATTGTTGATATTATTAAAATCAATTGGGCAAAAAGAACTTCCATTTTCGGTTTAATAAAATTTGGAGTGGACTTTAAAAGATTATTATTATTATTATTATTATTATTATTATTATTATTATTATTATCATTATTATTATTATTATTATCATTATTATTATTATAAAAAACAATTTTGTGCATGTAAACTATATAATAATAATAATAATAATAATATAATGAAATATTCTATATTCATGCAAAGAAGGAAATTAGAAATTCTTATTATTCACTGTAAGATTAATGAATTGAAACTTCATTTCTTTTAAATCTAGTAATATGAATATATCTCTGTTTATCACAGTTCATAATTATGGGTTTAGATGTTTTGAAATATTTATACAACCAAATATCCAACCATTAGAGCATCCTCTTTCGTCAACACCATCCTTGCAGTCTGTCATTCCATCACAGAGGGCGGACTTGATCATACAGATACCGTCACAAGTGAACATTTCAAAACGTTCACATTCTTCCATGCTGCGAGCTACAGTACAGTGGGGAACAGGGAAGAGCTATTTTTTAAATACACGTATCAAAACAACCCCCAAAACAAATAAATAAATAGATGAATAATAATAATTTTTTTAAACAGAAAACCACCAGTCGATAATTAACATCATCGACAAATGTTTAATAAGACCGTCATTAGCCTAGACTGAAAAATCCGTCTGATTTGAGGAGATTTTTAAATACATAACTTTGTCTTTTTTGCTAATCTTGCTAAGTATACAGCTTTACTGCCAAGAGTAGTTCACCTTCGGTCATTTATAGGAGATTGGCGGCCAGTTTCCCAGATTTTTAAGTGGTCATAGCCATAGTTGTATTCTTTGACCCCAAAACCTAGGTATAGACACCAAAATCACATTTCCAAGATGGATGATTTATGGCTATTTTAAGGTATTGGCGGCCATCTTGGATGTAAATTTCATAATTTCACTTTCCTGGGATCCGATATTCTTTGATTTTTATTATGTTATCGCTGATTCCAAACACTACCGGAAACCGTTGATAAACCATCGGTTACAAATTTTGGGAGGTGGGGAAAAAAAAATTCTCCATAAATTGAATCGGTGACGCTAGACGAATATTCCCGGACGAAATAGACCGATTTTTGATAATTAAAGATTATTATTTTGGTCTAATTTTAATTTATAAAATTCTAACGACATATCCCGGATGCTCTACATATAGATATCAAATGCTCTAGATAAAAGTCGCCACATCATCATTACAACATGAGCTAAATTCCTTCACATTCTTGGTGATGTTATCGATGTTGTACCCTTCAAACGGAATACAGTACATATATTTTCATTGGTCATACTTACCACAGTCTTTACTTTCATCGGATCCGTCCCTGCAATTCTTGAATCCGTTACAGAATAAATCGTCCTTGATGCATTGAAGTCCATCAGCACACTTACTAGAGCCAAGTGGGCATGGATGATTACAACTACAATGGAATATCGAGTAACAGGAGGTTAACTTCACTCAGATCAGGAAGAAAACAACATACACCCAACAAAAATATTAAAAATTAAAGTATTGTAGACTAATGAGATACGTATAGAATCCATTCCAAATTTTAGTCATTCTGGCAATCATGTATTCTCGTATAGTGCCCATGCCTATGAAACTCGACACTCCCTGTGCTCTACAATGATTAACCCGGCTTTACCATAGCTGCCATAATATGGTGCTCTATAGCATGTCAAGGAATTAATTCATGCCAGGTTCCCATTTACCTTACCGTGATTGAGAGCGGACGATTATTTAGAGCTGTGGCAGGGATTTTAAACCCGTACCTTGTGGTACAGTCTGGTGATGTATCCACTAGATCACACCTCTTCAAATATTTCACAGCAATTGACAACCCAACATAATGTCTTTCCGGAATAATCAAAAGGGCCAACTCTGAAAGGACCGGGTACCTCAGCCACTTTTTATGAGATCAACGTTCAAAGTTTTGTCATGTACTATATGACATCACATGCAATACACATTTCACATAATTAATAGCGCATACAAAATTACAAATTTTGATTACATCATCGCTATGGGCCCTTACATCAAAAAGGGCACCTATGCCACCTTTCACGATGGGTGTGGCCATGCAACGGCAAGTTTTAAAATAAACTTAATGACCCGAGTTCACAAAGGAGGTTTGTCGACAAACCTCCTTCTGTTTCGTCAAACCTCCTTTTGTTCTTTACAAACCAGGTTTGTAAAAAAACGCGTAAAACGCGTCATATGACGTACGAAAACCAAGGTTTGTCGACAAACCTCCTTTGTGAATTCGGGCCCTTATGATGCATTGCACCCGAACTTCATTTGGTAGTTTTTACAAACTTCAATTAATGAAGGACTAGTGGAATTGCTCAATATTCTATTTTATTTATGGCATGTTCGTTTACCTTTGTGCCAAAAGTCCATCATCAGATTAATCTAACACGATTCGAAAATCTTACATGACACATTTTTGTATTTGGGCATTTTTCTTCATAATGGGCACCTGTACATCTTTTTTTGGTTAAAAATACATCATAACCATTTAACACATATTATACAACAAAATATCTTTATAAAACTTTAAAACATAAATTGGCCTTTATTTGAAATAATGGGCAGCTGGACTTTATTAACATAATTCTGAGGAATGGAAATTAAAAATATGACTTTTAATTACTATTATTTGATTTAACTTATGTGTGCTAAAAACACATCCATTTAGGCAAAAGCTTAAAATAGGAAAAAAGTACCAAGAGGGGGACATTTAAAAATGGGGCACTCAGGGGCCGAATTAGAGGTGGCTGAACGTCCAGTTTTGTATAAAACATATTAATCTACCTGTGTTCCAAATGTTGTGCTTTTATCACAGAAATGCACAATTGAATTGCTGCCCCACTACTTTTCATTCAACTTTGATCTTTACAAAACCTGCTTATTTTTTCCTGAACAACTTTTAATGTGGGTTCCAGTGAAAACTAATTTCCTTGTTAATACAGTATATATTTAAAAAAATCTGATAATGAGATAAAAGAAAGAAATTAAAGAAAGCTAACCGTTCTGATGTTTCATCATAGTTGTCATCACAGTCCTGAACACCGTCACAGAAATCCTCAATCATCAACCTTTTCTCACCACCAGTAGGTCCAACACAGGACACTGGGTAATATAAGGAGAGAGAGAGAGAGAAAGAGAGAGAGAGAGAGAGAGAGAGAGAGAGAGGGGGGGGGGGGGGAGAGAGAGACACACACACAGGGAGAAAGAGACAGAGAGACAGAGATAGAGAAAGAGAGAGAGAGAGAGAGAGAGAGAGAGGGTAAAATGTAAATATGACTATTTGGTCATGTGGGACTAGCGGTAATGGGTATGAGTTAGTATATAATTATTGTATACACATGGAACTATCATATCATGAAATAAATACACAATGAACCACCATTAGAAGTCCTCATCTTAATAAACTGTACAAATTATTGCTCGCTCACACGCAAATTTTTGAAAATGAAGAGTTAATATACGGGCAAGATTGACAAACTCCTCAGACGAAATTGTACCAAACACTAATGCCAGGCTACCTCCTTTCTGTTATTAATTTTTTTTTTTGGGGGGGTCTTGTTTTGATTTGTCTTTATACCATTTTCCCCAATCCGCTAAAAAGAAACTCCTATTCGTTAATGCTTAACATAAGCATTATATTGGTTTGGTAACACTGAAATAATCATGTACATCACTACATGGATGCCCCTTTGTTTTCGAAAGTGACAATTACCAACATGCGTACAAGTACAAGTGAAGACCAGTGGTGGAGAGAGAGAGAGAGAGAGAGAGGAGGGGGGGGGGGGGGGGGGGTTGGATGGGTATTGTACCCCACCACATTTTGTTCTTTGTTTTATTTCTAATTTACATTGTGACAAACTAGAGAACATCTAAAAATGTGAAAAATATGAACTTACTGCAGTACTTCTCATCGGCCCCATTGTAACAATGGTAGACGCCATCGCACCAATCTTTGTCATTGATACACTGTGGTGACCTGCTGCACTTAGTAAAGCCAGTAGGACAATCTCGATCAAGGTCTGAAGAACAGTCATTTAATAATTATCATGTAAGTTAAGTATTTCATTCGATCTTGACGCGTCACTTTTTAAATGAGCATGAAACTTTGTTTTGTGTCTAGATAACTATATAGCGCATTGGTTTAAGATGCTAATATTACCATATGATTGTAGATTTCAAACCTGCACGCAAGTCTACACCATCTTTCCTCCCTGGAAAGTATTCATGTCATGATATGCATCACAGCCACCATGAACAAGGTCACATTTAGTACTATTCTTGTCAACTTCAGATTCACTTCTACCACATTAACCAATGATGTCTATAAATATCACTATGTGTATACACCATTTTCGGTTGATATTACTGTTGAATCAACAGTATCAACCGAAAGGAATAGCACCTCAAACCCTCATTACCAGTTACGAACCGCCTACATCACCACCACGTTCACCAATCATACAAACAAAACCATCATCCATTATCATCATCATCTTGGAAGCCAACTTCCTGTTACAATGACGGACGAATTAACAAAATCAAAATCATTTATGATGCATCTTTATCATCTTCTTTATCCCAATCATCCTCATCATCATCATCATCATCATCATCATCAATACCATCATGTACAATGATCACCACCATCACAATCATCCTCATGATCACCACTATCATCATAATACTCCTTCTCTTCCTAGCTCCTCTTTCTCTTTCTCGTCATCTGTTCTCATCATCTCCCTCGCCATCACAATGCTCCTCCTCATCTGTATCATCCTCGTCATCTTCATCATTTTCGTCCTTATTCTATTCCTCAACAACTGTATGTTGATACTCACTGCAGACATTAGGACTTTCGTCTGATCCGTCAGTACAGTCAAACATGATGTCACATACGGTATCCTGTAGTACGCATTGCCTACCGTCTGCGCATGCAAAACGTCCCTCAGCACAATTTAAACCTGTCAAGTAATTTAAAAACAACGTCATTCGTCAGACACAATAACTAGAAGCTAGTAACAAATCTGCAGTATTTTCATGAATGAATATATGTAATTGTTTCATTTTTGATTTGTTGACTCTATAGTAAGCATAGCAATCCTACTTGTTTTATCAACATTTTGTTGTTGTTGAGTGAGGATCCAACGCATGAATAATAACATATGATGATAATACTGATAATAATAGTAATGATAATAGTAATGATAATAGTTATGATAATGATAATACTGACAATACTGAGAAATATATTAATGGTTATGATAATAACAATAACAATAACAATACAAATGAAAATGATGATAATAACAATAGTAGTAATAATAATAATGATGATAATTATAATAATAATAATAATAATAATAATAATAATAATAATAATAATAATAATAATAATAATAATAATAATAATAATAATAATATCCAATAATGTGGAAATTAATCCCACAAAAAGTAATTACTGTAGTTTTTTCCAGAACAAAGTAACAACATAAAACTATACTAGGAGAATATAATGTTTACCTGGTTGAGCCGTGATGACCCCTAGATCAGGGCCGAGGTCAATAGGTTCGTCCGAACTCAGAATGGATGGGTAAGGGGTCGTGAAGACAAATGTTGGTTCTGAAACAAAAATGACTTATTCATTTATTTAATTATTCATTTCTTTCACATATTTAACCAGAGTAGCCTATACAGTACCAACAAATATGAAATTATAAATAAAATATGTACAATTAAAAAACCAATTGATATAGAAAACACATACAATAGACTTTTTGAAAAACAGTACTGCACGGTGTTCCACAGGGATCCCCATAACACAAAAGACAAATATTGACATAATTTATAAAATACTTTAAAGCATTTTTACACTAACATAGGGGTGTGGAAATCAATAAAGAGGGTGGAGAGAGGGAGAGAGAGAGAGAGAGAGAGAGATAGAACTGTACAAGGAGGGATATAAACAAAAACAGAAAGAGGGGGACAAAGAAGGAGAGAGGGAGAGAGAGAGAAAGAAAGATTGAGAAGGTAGGAGAGAGAAAGAAGAGAGACTGAGAGAGAGAGAGAGAGAGAGAGAGAGAGAGAGAGAGAGGAGAGAGATAGAGAGGAGAGAGATAGAGAGAGAGAGAGAGGAGAGAGAAAGAGAGAGAGAGGAGAGAGATAGAGAGGAGAGAGATAGAGAGGAGGGGGCATTGATAGGGATATAGTGGTGTAAAATAAAAATACATACCGTCATCATCTGTAGCTGCTTTTAAATCCCAAAGCTCCATCGCTAAATCTTCGTCATCAGGGAAATCCGTCGGATACATTTCAGTTTCAACATCAGCCTCACCATCCATATCGCCTAATAAACCGGCAAGCCTGGTGTACAAAAGGTCAGTATCTGTTTCCAGCTCAGTGATGACCTCCGTCACGATCATGGTACTGTCACGTTCATTATCACTATTTTGAATTGTAGTCAAATCTTCCCGAATGACACCTTCGTTTTGTTGAAGTGATGCATTGGTAGATGTTGGTTGCATATCGTCTATCAAGGTAACTGCAGCTGTAGCTGGATTTGGCTCCAGCTCATCGATATTGACCTCATTGGGAATGATGTCATAGACGACTTCTGTAACCATGGTCAGTTCAGTGATCACTTCATAATCAATGTCTCCTGGCGCTACTGACGTACCTTCATTGGCAGGCTCTGTGTCAAGTACCAACTCTGTGATGAATTCAGAAACAACATCTTCTACAATCTGAACATCCATCAAGTCTTTTACGAGATCGTCGCCTGCAATTCTGCTTGCAGTACTACCAGCATTGATTGGTGTACTTTCAGTGGAATCTATAGTCATGTCGTCGTTCGAGGAGACTGTTTTGTTTGAATCACTCAAATTCATCAAACCGTTAATCAATTCATTTACTTCATCCGGAACATCTGTGGGTAGAACCTTAGTGATGTCACTAAGGTTATTAAGCTCATCCCCCATGTTTATTTCATCAAATAGCTCGTCCCCGAGTTCCTTGAATTGATCAATAGCCTTAACAACACCCTTGTCGAACCCTTCTAATGATGAAGCCTTATTTGTCTCGCTCTCGTCTGTGAGGTCCATGAGATTTTTGATCAGATCATCAACGTCTGCTTCGGACTCTCGTTGGAGTTCATCAAACGGAACCTGTTCAATAGCATCCTCCAACGCCGTAAGTTGATTGGCGAATTCATCTATAACAGGGGGGAAATATATACTGTAATGCATGAGTTTTCATGCGTGAATGTATTTTTATTACAGTTATTGATGAGTTCATTTCAATAGATTGATGAGGTATAAAATGGCATTCTATTGCAATATCTTACCTTGATCCTGAGGCAGAGGTGTGGTAAATGTTGGTACGGCAACCAACTGAAGGAGGCCAATCACAACGAGACCTTGCAAGATCGTCATTCTTAATGTTCTGAAGAAAAAAAAAAAGGTGAAATGTCAATATGATGATAAGGATTCATGATTCAATCGAAATTGATGGGAAACCTGAGCAAAGCAATCAGAATGCCGGGGTCCCGCTTCATCGTGAGCATGATATTTTAAAAACGTGTCATAACGTAGTTGCTAACGTTCCATTGGGTAAAATCGAAAGTAGGGTCGGCAAAGCGTCTTTCAAAGTGGAGATGCACCAGCAAAGAAAAGGGCACGTACAAAGGGTAACCTCTAAGCGAAAAATTACCATCTTTAGACTTTGTGAATATCCCTTCATTATCCAGATTCTGTCCGTTTGTATATTTTTTGTTCCTTAATCATCTATGTCCTCTTCCCTTACACGCATCCCACACAGATCGCGCGACCCCCGAAAATACACCCGCTTTATTTTATTATTTAGGCTGTCTTATCAGCATATATTGACCCCGAACTTCATACACATTCAATGTATTTAGATACTCACTATTCTATTACACTGTTTAAACAAAAAATGATAAATTTGAGGTAAAAATCGCACAGCATAAAGGATAATTTTGTGTCCAAAGCCCATCCGATTGTTGAACATTATCATGCCTATAACACAGGCAACTTTTACTCCATTTGTAGTAAAAGATTACCTTGATTGGGCAAAACATTATCGAAGGTGCGCACAAAATTGTTGGTTGGACACAAGTCATGTTATCTTCACGTTGGGTGTTTTACCTAATAATCTTACGTTAACACTTATCAAAGCAGATAAGTGCATGTTGATATCATAACCTACCCAACACGTAGAAATTCATTCAAACAACTAATTTCCCTTCTAAATATCAGGAACCCTTTTTCTTTCATCACATGAAGTCAAACCTTGATAGATAGGTAGATATACATAAACAACCAGGGGCTCTATAGGGCCTAAAATAAAAACTTGTTGTATTGCCCTTAGGGTGCCATAACATGGGTCGGTCGGTCGGAATTTTTTTTGTTTAACTTTTTTTTTCCCGCCCTCTTTTAGCTGATATTTCTCAGTTTTTAATGCTTTAATACATGTGCTTCAGCGTCATCATAATTATCCATGGTTTGCACGAGTGAGAATTTTTGAATAATTTGATTTTATGCATTTATATCCCATTTAAACAAACAAAATACATATATTTTTATTCATTAATTTTAAAAAAATCTTAAAAACGGTTTTTTTTTTTTTTTTTTTTTTTTTTTTTAAATGCCGACGGATTTCAGATTTTTGGGTCGGTCGCAAAGGGCAATACAACAAGTTTTTATTTTAGGCCTAGTGTCGATACGTGCGCTATATAAGAATCCAATATCATTATTATTATTAGATACAATGTACATGCCGTAGTAACTGACAATGCTATCCTGCATAAGTAAAACTACCCCCCCCCCCCAAAAAAAAAAAAAAGAATATAGATAAACAAAGAATTCAGTAATTGGCAAGCGAAAAATTTGGAAATAATTGTTAACTTGAAGTCATTGCATTTGAAAATGATTACTCTTTGACAATCATATATCGTATCAATTTTTATAAATAATATATTGATAAATGTGTGCTTTGTGTAATTGCTATTAATTATCCAATGGAATAACATAGCTGGAATCTTTTATCAAAGTTACCTGCATATTTTCACAACCATGAGGAATCAATGCTGATTTGTTAATCAAGTACGATGTAAATAAAATAAAAGCTTGTTTGTTCGTTGTGCTTTATTACTTTTTTTTCTAAAGTTGAATTACTGCAGTCATTATATTTTGTTGTTAATGTAATGTGAATGACAAAATATGCTGTATTGTAATATTCGACTTGATACAAATTATGCTGTTTAATGTATCGCTGGATTAGGCTACATATGGTGCTAAAATAATTTCTAAGTGAATGCCTGAAATTTGATTAATTAACTGACAGTTCATCTATGGCGAGCAGAAAACACGGTTTTGGTATACCTAGTGGATTGTCTTTTATAATCAAGAAACTAATGTATTTTGTGTTGAGCAGTGTTGAGTGCGGTCGTACTTACTATTTGCAATTTGGTGGGAAGCTTGTATTAATCAATAATAAGAACCAAACACACCCCATTTATATGTCTTTGTAGCTCTCCATGAATACACATTCTTTTGGAGAAGTTAATCGATTTTTAATATTGATTTTCCAGCATCTCGTTTTAGAAACAGCTTAGACAAAGCTACAGACCTTTTTTTAAATTTAGATATCCTTGCGTTTTTTAACGCCACACACATAAGCTTTTTTATGGGGGGGGGGGGATTTTCATATTTTGCCAGCATGACTACCGATCATCTTGTTTTACCCTCAACAACACAAACAAATTTTCTTTTTTCCCTTTTGTTCTTCTTCTTCTTTTCATTTGACCGACATCAACAACTTCGTCGCCATTATCCTCACGACAAAGTACAAATAAAGGTACGAATGGAGTTGACATTAGAAAGTAGAAGAGAAATGATGCTATAAATTACATTTCAACATCCATTGAACGAATTTTCTCCGAAAGGCCTGAGCAACCAACTTCTGTATTTATTAAAGTGAAGAAAAAAAAAATCGAGGATGACATATATCATACGTACAGTGGCAGCCGCTTCGAGAGTTAAAATACCAGTCAAAGTTTGCTGCATCTGTATGACGTGTACGATTTATTTAGAAATATATTATTCTGATATTACTCAATAAAATACCATGTGGAGCGCTTACAAAATGGAAAAGTAAATAGAGCATGATCATAATTATCGTCTTCCCTGACCTCCCTATCTTGTTCGTTTTATTTGTAGATCTCATCATTCTGTTTTAACCGTAGCAGTATAGTACCCCCGGGATAGTATCTTTTACACTCTACTCTCCTTGAATAGATCTAAGGAAATTACGCAGTTACAAGTTTAGTGTCATGGATTATCACATGTATTCTTCATGATGTATATTTAAATCTCTTTTTGAAAAGTATTTTGAAATGGAAGGAAACAGAGCTTTCCAAACTGAAACTACAACATTGGAATTGCTTGAAAGATATCTTTTAAAAACATCGCGTCGCTCCTCTGTGTTAGGTAAAATGCTCATTCAGATGTTCATTAAAAAGAAAATAAGATATTGTTATTGAGATCTAAACAAGAGTTAAGCATTAACATGATTAAATTGAGACATTTTTTTAAACGTTACTACGAATTAAAAAAAAAAAAAAAAAAAATATATATATATATATATATATATATATATATATATATACATATATATATAAAATGGCACAACTGACAGTGATATTACTGTAAAACAATGAATGTATGAATTTATCGAAAAATGAAAACTCCTTTTTTCATAGAAAATACTATTCATTGAAACCTGGCGTTGAAACTTTGAAAACATATCAAGTTATCGTTCTTACTAATGGTATAGTGAAGGTCATTCAACAGGTAAACGAAAAATGATAAAATATTTGTCTTGATTTCATCACACTTAAGTCTTACCTTGTTATTACTCAGCTATAGGACTAGTATTCCAAAGAAGTCAATCGATGTTCATTAACAGTCTTGCATCGGACCTCAGTCAAATTGGAATTCTCATACTGATATGATTATAAAAACCAAAACGTCTTTCAGTTGGAGGAAGGGGGGTCTCACTGCACCCGTCTACCAGAACACCGACTTATAAAATGGAGTGCTCAATCCAACATGGACAATGGGGATGACGTCGTTCATGTCACGTCACCAATGGAGGTGTAACATGTGGTGCGGTGCCCTTCTTAAAGTGTTGTTCAATTTGTAGAAGAATAAAATACAGGAAAAAGAGTATGGCCCTATTTCAATACAAGATCACTGAGGGCAAATTGCAGAAGTTTAAACGTTTTTTTTTTTATGGAAAATGATCGTCAGATTCAGTAACCCGGCTGCGGTTGCGCCGTAAGAAGAAAACTATTTTTGGTTAGCAAATAAAGAGGTGGGCATTGTCCTCCTTAGTTCTCTGGTAGATGAAGGGCCTAACAAGATGTTGATCGTAAATGCCGAAGACTAAACTTTAACAAACAAAAACAAAATCGATATACATATTGATTAATTTAGTTCCGTCCGGAAAGAAAAAAGAGTTTAAAAGAATAAATTGTGTAGACGGTCGACGGAGTTGTTAGTGCTGTCAATATTCCTGCTGTGTATTTGTCGGTAAATAGAGTGTTGACATATTGGCTAAAAATATTTATGAAAAATGTTACACTACCATGGTCTTAGGTGTGGGTAACTAGCTGGGAGATGGTGACCTGTGAACGATTAGCCTACGCGCGGGGCGCTGTCCCTTAAACTGTAGGTGAATGGCACGTCCAGTCAGGTCCTAGTTTTCACTGGCTTTCAATCTAAGACTTTATTTATATCTTTTAATTAGTTATGGTGTTAGGTGTGGGCAGGGGCGTCGCTAGATCTTTTTCAATGGTGGAGGGGGGGTGTAAAGGCCAACGATTACCGACAAAACTAGCCACGAATTACCGACAAAATTAAATGTCCAATATCTACACATTTAACCCTATAAACACGGGGCCGAAGGCTAATTTTTTTTTCCTATTGACTATCTGTAGTACTTGCGTATGCGCAAATGGTCATTTTCCACTACACAAAAATACGAATTATTTCGTCAACTTAGTCAGCATTCATAGCTATAAATTTTAATGCAGACGCGGAGCTAGGATCTTATTTTAGGGAGGGGCGGTAGTGAGCAAGCGAAGCGCGCTCATTAGGGGGATGTGGGTGATAAGCTAAGACGTTTCCTTAAATTATTAGGAAAAGAAGACGATTTATTGTACCGTTCTCGACTGTTAATCCTTGTCAGAATGAAGTTCCACCCAGGACCCTGGGAACGATTTTTTCGCCGGGGGTGCTGCAAGGCCCTGGAAACGATTTTTCCACCGGGGCTGCTGAGATATATATACTGCGAAATTTTCGCCACGACTCAACCAGCCGCTGAATAAGCGGACATTTTTCTGTTTGTGTGTCCTAAAATTTGAAAATTTGGTCGTTCGGTAATGGGGGGGGGGGGGGGGGGGGTAAGGTCTGTCATTTTGGGTCAACAATTACCACAATTTTTTTTCTTCGAGGGATACATTTTATAGGATAAAAAAATTGCGGGGGGCTACAGCACCCCCAGCACCCCCGCTTTCCATGGTTCCACCCCTCCTGCGCGAAGCGCGGAAGCTTTGACGTTTCATCATAAGACTGTTAATCCTTGTCTGAATTCAGTTTCTCCCCCTCCAGCGCGAAACGCGGAAGTTTTGACATGTAATTTAATTATTAGAAAAAGTAGACGATTCGTTAAACCGTGCTCGACTCTTAATCCTTGTCTGAATGAAGCTCCCCCCTCCCACGCGAAGCGCGGAAGTTTTGTTTGAATTATTAGAGAAAGAAGACGATTCGTTGTACCGTTTTCGACTCTTAATTACCCTATTTGTCTGAATTCAGTTTACCCCTCTCGCGCGAAGCGCGGAAGCTTTGACGTTTCCTTTAATTATTAGAGAAAAAAAATACGATTCGTTGTACCGTTCTCAACTCATCGAAGTTTTCCCCTTCGCGCGAAGCGCGAAATTTTTGGCGTTTCATGACAATATAGAGAAAGGAAGACGATTCGTCGTACCGTTTTCGACTAAGCCCTATTCATCTGAATTCAGTTTCCCTCTCTCGCGCGAAGCGCGGAAGCTCTGACGTTTCCTTAAATTATTAGAGAAAGAAGAGGATTCGTTGTACCTTTTTCGACTCTTGATAAGCCCTATTATTTTGTCCTTGTTTGAATTTAGTTTTCCCCAAAATTCAAAAATCTGATTTCTTTAGCTGATATTATAGGAAAGTGAAACTTCGAGAAAATACAAGTATTGTAGTTGTAGTCACTCTCGAAGTCGTCACAGCGGATAAAAAGTCACAGTTCGTAGCGGAAAAAAAACTTGTCGGCCGACCGACAATATACATCTCACCGACTTCAAACTTCTGCATTGATATAGTACAGAAGGATTGAGCAAGAATACCGACACAGCTGCCCGCACAGCTGACCCGACACAGCAACATATTTACCTGTGTCTTTCTTGCTCTCTCGATGAGACGACTCCACCCAACAACCCCCTTTTCTCTTTTACTCCCACTCCTCCTCTCTCAGGCTCTTACCTCCCCCTCTTTCCTCTCTTTCACCCCCGTTTCTTTTCTTTCCCTTTTACTCTTTTTTTTTCTTTTTATTTTCTTCTTTTCTTTCTTTTCCTTTCTTTCCTTTTTTTTCCTTTCTTTCTTTCTCTTCCTTTTTTTTTTCTTTTCTTTCCCTTTCCCTCTCTTTTTCCTCCCCCCTTTTTTCCCCCCGACGGCAGCGCAATTTTACCGACAATATTCTGACAAGTGGGGGGGGGGGGGGGGGGGGGTTCGACACCCCCACACCCCCCTTTGGCGACGCCCCTGGGTGTGGGTAATTACTGGCTGGGAGATGGTGACCTGTGAACGATGAGCCTACGGGGCGCGTCTTATTTTTTCGTACCATAGCGATCGAGCCCAGATTGAGCTCGCGACTGAGGAAACCTGCGCATGCACAGTTCCAAAGGAAACCAACGCATGCGCACATGGAATCCGGTAGGGTTGTCAATAGGGTTAACATCATCATACAATCAACCTTTTATCAACCCATCGTTAGCTCAATCTGTTAGGACAGCGTTATACTAATATAACTTTGTAGTTGACTTAAGATAACGAATCCCAGTATTTATTAAGTTTTTTGCCTTTATAAAAAGTGAGGCAAAGCAAGTCAAATCGTTTGTGACCTCTCTGCCAGCTAATTTCGTGGCTTAATTGTTATGTACGAAAATGAGTTTTATACTGGGCTCTCTGTGGTAAGAAAAAATAATACGGGGCCCTGTCCCTTAACTTTCTGTAGGTGAACGGCACGCCCAGTCAGGTCCTAGTTTTTTTCTCATTATAAAACTATTTTTGGGGGCAGTTATGGTGTTAGGTGTAAGTATTTACTGGCTAGGAGCAGGGGCTTCGCCTAAAGGGGGGGGGGGGGGGGGTGGTAGTGAGGTGCGACACCCCTCAACAACTCAAGGGGGGGGGGGGCTTCTGTGTTTATAACATGTTATAATACAAAATGGGGTATTCATAACATTGTCACAGAATACACTGAATACTATATTGACAAGATGATAATTGATATATAAAGTATGTATACTACTTTGTTGTAAAATAAAAGATAGCTGCATGAGAGTATAGATTTGTTAGTCGATCAGTGTTAGTTTGAGTACTGCTGGTCCTGATTCAGATTCCCGCCCCCCCCCCCCCCACTCAGTGTTATTTAGGGTACGCGTATGCTCGTTCCCTCTTTTTGAAAGCACCCCTATCTGAGGACTGCCAACATTTCCGAACCCCCCTTTCGCGGGCTTTTGGCGTGCTTTTCCTGCCTTGAAAACCCCCCTAAATACGGAAAATAGCTCAATGTACCCCCTAAATTCGGAATAATTTCTCAGGAGTCCAAAGAGATGAGAAGAAAAAAAGAAAAACACCCCCTTTTTAAAGAAATCTCCGGGTGAAAAGTCAATACACCCCTTTTTTTTTTACAATTCTCGGGCCGGACTTTGTCGCACGAAAAGTACCCCTTTACCGGACATTTTGGTAACACGCATGGGGTCATTCCGACCTCTGAGTAGAGGGGGGGGGGGGGGGACGGTTCAGATTCAGATTAAACTTCATTGTCCATATAAATGTTATACAGTGCGTCCCACTGCGAAACCGAGAATTATCGATGTTTTATCATAACTTAGCAAGGGTGTCGATTTGTATCCGTGGTTGGGGGGGGGGGGGGGATGATATGTGCCAAAATATTTTCGACAATGGATCAAAGCAACTAAGAGGTAGAGTATGGATGCGTGTGGCAAGTACGTTGCACCCCCTCCCCAAGTGCGTAGCCAGGATTTCTTTTTAGAGGGGGGAGGGGGGGGGTAGTGAGCACGCGAAGCGTGCGAATCACTTACAGAGCGGGAGTTGGGAGTATCCCCCCTCCCCCGCGAAGCGCGGAAGCTTTAAGAAGATGATTCGTTGGACCGTTATCGACTCTTAATCCTTGTTTGAATTAAGTTCCCCTTCCTCCGCGCATAGCGCGGAAGCTTTGACGTTTCATTAGATTATTAAAGAAAGAAGAAGATTCGATGTACCATTTTCGACTCCTAATCCTTGTTTGAATCAAGTTCTTTCTTCCTCCGCGCGTAGCGCGGAAGCTCTGACGTTTTATTAGATTATTAAAGAAAGAAGACGATTCGATATGTACCATTCTCGACTCTTAATCCTTGTCTAAATTCAGTCCCCCCCCCTCCGCGCAAAGCGCGGAAGCTTTGACGTTTCATAAATTATTAGAGAAAGAAGACGATTCGTTGTACCATTCTCAACTCTATAGTCTTAATCCTTTTTCTTCCTAGACTCTACGTCCTCTTCCTTCTTCTTTCTCTTTTTTCCTTTCTTTTTGGCCGGCATTTTTTTTTTGGGGGGGGGGGGGCGACCGCCCCCACCGTCCCCCTGGCTACGCGCCTGCCTTAACTTGTTCAAGTCACCCTCAATAAAGATAACATTTCAGAGAATATAAGAGTGGTAATAAAATTAATAACATGCTAAATGTTAGTCCAGACTGGGCCGACTCTTGCCTGCAGTGTAGGCCTACCAGACTGATATCATCTATTTTTAAACGAAATTTAGACATTACCCAAAAAAGTCCAATGGTGAGGGATATCAAGTTGTGATAGTATTATGTTACCAGTGGGCAAATGCATTAATAAGTAGCCAGGAAAAGTTCATGTAGACAGAAAATTCTTTATTTCCTGGTGATAGAAACATACATGTTATGAATATTGATGTCTCCAAACAACATTCATCGTGAAAAACCCATTCCAATATTCTGCGTAAGGAGATCTAAACAAAACATAGTTCTCATTAGTAAATGAAAAACATCTTCCTTCTTTAATTAAACCAACTGAATCCTCTCTGCAGGAAACTCAATTCAATGAAACAGAAAATCACTGATGCAAAATTTGTTTCTCAAAATGACAGAAAATTTCCACTCCTGATCTCAAACTGTCTGTTTCTTAAAAACATAATATAAAACTTACGTTCCAACTACCAAACAACAAACTTCCATTATCTCCTTCTTCACCCAGATATACTTATCATACCAGATACGCTCTAAAATATAAGCATAATATTCCCCTAAGGCCCTGACCAGAGCACTATTTTTTCTCCCAAAACTATAACCGGTCTTAGAAGGTGCATTATTATTGGAAGGGTGTTATAAACAAAACTTCAAAGTTAATAACATTCTAACCTTCACAAACACCATATGCCTGTTACGTTTGAATACAATACATAGGCCTACGTCAGCTTTTCAATAAAACAAAAATAAGTTTTGACTTAATAATCTTTCTCCAAAAATGAAATATGTTTTAGGAAATATCAGCTGTTGATTGAACAAATTGAATAAATTCATCAATTCCTGATGAGCGAGAATTCAATTTATTCTTGTCTCATATACGGTTGTCTCATTTACTTCGTATATAATGTATGTATTATGAAAATGAGACAGCAAAATGTGTATATTATTGATGGTCATCTTGCGAGTAATAATTCCATTAACTACTCTCATCGGGCTCTCATTAATTTTTCTCTTCATTTTTTTCTTTGATGGTGAATTATTGGGGGGGGGATGATTGTACAGGCCATCCCCCACCTGAAATATTGGGGGGGGGGGATATATCCTCCCATCCCCCCCCCCCCCGGGGATCGACACCCATGTAACTAGGCTGCGTTCATGCTTAACTTTTGAAGGCAGAATGAGCGATCTGAAACGCTCATCGTAAACGCTCATCGTGATCGCAGTTCCACGATGTAGTGTTCATGCTTACTTCTCTGGCTCCCCCAGGCAATTCTCAGTGTGTGGCCTTAATTGGTCTTCCAGCTGGATTCGCAAACCTTCACTGTGCATGCTACGTAGACCCACTAGAGGTCAGTGCGTTGACCCCATTTAAACGCGTTTACAAATTGTAAACGCATCTTTTTGTGAGTTTACGATCGGCGATCGTGATCGCCGTTTTTCGGTGATTCTACAAAAGTGAGCTAAGACGTAACCGTGTTTTAAACTAAACGCGTAACAGATGCCTGATTCTGGCCGTCAAAATCAAGCATGAACGCAGCTAGCCTTAGTCACATTAATAAATGACACATATATTTGGAAAGCTTAAATCCTCCTCTTTAATTTGATGCAACTCATAATGCATATTTCACGCATGAGTGATTAACATGAATTTGAAGTGAGAGGAAACCAAAAAGTCATTTGGCGGACGGTATCTGAATTTCAAAGACAAATCACATTTCTAGAAAGTTGAGTTTCTGCCCTTCCATATGACACCGGTCGTGTGTATCGTCTGCATTCTGTTACCAGAGCGCTGCGTGCGAATTATGTTGATTTTCGCTTTCTCCGAGCAGGCGCAAGATCGAGAGCCAATTGTTAATGGTCTGTAAAAATAAACACCTTACATTTTGAACCGTTTTAATTAATCAATAGTCACATGTTTTCTCGGATATCTCCACTGCTCTAACAATTTATTTTAAGCGGATTTTTTTAAAAATCACTTATAATTATATAGAGAGACCTATGCGAATGAAATTAACGAGTCATAATTTGACGATCGATGGATTGGGTATTCTTTATAAGACTATTCGTCTCTGGTGGTGCAGATGGTGTTTCCTACGACAGATGCAGTTTAATCGAGCTCGTTCTAGTACAGTGTGTGTACGTGTGCGTAGGATGCTACATAGCTTTGCATTGTGTTTTCTCACGTAAGCTGATCGACAACAACTTCCAAGAGACGCAATTGCTTTGTACCTGTTATTTCAACTCTTTGCGACTGTGAATCCTCCAGATCTTTCATCGATCTGTATACACACTTACACAGAATACCTGGAAAAGTAAGCAAAAAAAAATCATTGTCATTTTATGGTGAGGCAATCCATTGGATTGCGGATTCTCTTTGTCGTTTTACAAGTGCGAATATGTAGATCTATGTCTTGTAAAAAGCTGTAACATAGGGCCTAGGTTCTAATTCTAGTTGCACATTATAATATATTTATTATAACGGATACGTCGAAATAAATATATTCTTGCTTATGATGGTTCCAACGCTCACATTCATATTCAAGCTCATACTAGGTGTTTTTTAATGCTGTAGAAACCTTACAAATATTTGACAGTATAGGCCTAAATCAGGGAGATGAGAGTTATAAATGCTTTTAATTTTGATTTTTAAGTGGCATCGAGTACCAATGATATTAATTCAAGGCACATTCCAGCGAATCCAGGTCAGAGGCATTATAATACAGACAAAAATTAAAATGATTCAGTCATGTTTAGACTTCTTTTAAGGAAAATTGCTGAGACTCGGCAATTTCAAAAATTTATTATGTAAAACTGAAAGGTCTTGATTTGGACGGTTGGACCATTGCTGATCATGTATCATGAGACTTCAAATTTGGCTTCTTCTGCACAGTGTGTATTATATATTAATTTGGATTTTGATGATGAAAGTGTGATACTTGTGTGTAGGGACAGTTTTTCCATTCTGGCCACTTCCTTGGCAGATTATGGTTATCATTTAGGGCTGGGGGAACATACAGCAGACCCCACTTATTTTTTTCAAGTACCCCTTAAGTGCCCCCTTTTCCTGATAATTGCCAATCTTCAAATCTAAGAGGTGCCTGGCCCTTCTACTTTGACAAGTAACCCTCATCCTCTGTAAGAAGTGCCCCGATCCCTTTTGAATAATTACCCTTTTCCTTCCTGATAAATGCCTTTTTCCTTCTGATAAATGCCCTTTAATTTCCTTTTTAATAAGAGCCCCTTCCCATTTTCCTTTGACAAGTTCCCTTTTTTCTTTGCAATAAGTGCCCCTTTTCACCTTTGATAAGGGCCCCCTTCACTCCTGATAATTGCCTAAACAAATCTGAGAGGTGCCTGTTTCCCCTTTCCTTTTAATATGAACCACTTCCCCTTTTCCCTCGACAAACAACTCTTTTTCTTTATAATTAATGCCTCATTTCCATTCTCATTAGTGCCTTATTTCAATCTCTGGTGAGTACCCCTTTTCACCTCTGATAATTCCCTTGTTACTTTGACACTGTATGCTCCTTTTCTTTTCGATTAAGTGTCCTTTATCCTGCAGATAAGTGCCCCCTTTTCCTTTCTCAATAACATATGCTCCTAATGTAAATCAACCAAGAGCCACTTTTATTTAATTCCCCTTAGATCGTTGCTACGCTCCTTCGCATTTATAGTTGATATAATTGTGTAACTTTCTAATTTTTTTAAAGTCTTCTGTCTTCAGGAAGAGATTGTTGTGAAGAAAAGTCTTGAAAACACTTTTTATGCATCTCATTGACAGCATTTTATTTATCTCCATTTCACCTTTTCCTTATCCAGTTTCACCAAATTTTTCATCTATCGCAGTTCATTAGCGCTGATCGTCTGCAACTGTAGGAAGCATGAATTCAGTGAGGGGTAAGATCGTGTATGAATGTGTTTCACAACGAGACATTTCTGTGATATGGACTGATGATCCACCAGATCGACCAGCCTTTCAAACCTCTCAACTAAGTCTTGCACCCTCTGCTACCCCGCAACACAGCATTGGCTTCATTGAGACCAAGAAGAACCCACAGGGTTTCTTTGGATTGACGTCACTTGCAACCTGTTGTTTAAAGAATCCAAGGCACTACCGATGGATCTTGACACTGGTTATCTCTCTAATCTTTGCCTGTGTTCTTGGGTTCTTCAACAGCTTTGGTACCTTGTACATTTGCCTTCGGAGAGATCTACAATCATCTGCAACAGAAACTGGTTGGTCTCTTGTCAAGTGCATGTTATGTTTTGTTTTGTTTTTTGTTTTCAGTTAGAGAAAACAGATGCATGCAAGGTTGGCTTCATCGAGATAAAGCTATGAGACTACATCAATATTATTTTCCGGCCGTGGGTTTGTGAGAGATTTATGACAATTACTTTGGGGAAAATTATGTGAATGTTACTTTCAACCTGGATATCCACCGTCTATTTTATTTCCTTGATCTATACAGACCAGGCGCGTACGCAGGATTTTTTCAAGGGGGGGGGGGGGGTTTTAACATTTATACATCGGGCAGAAATTTTCGCAACGACTCAGCCAGCCGCTGAATAAGGGGGGGGGAGAGGACACTTTTTTTTTTGTTGGTTTTTTGTCTCTAAATTTGAAAATTTGACATTTGGCTCCGTTGGGGGGGGGGGGGGGGGAGGGGGGGGGTAAGGTCACCTTTTTAGGTCAGCCATGGGAATAATTTATAATTTATAATTTAAAAAAAGAAAAAAACACCAAGGGGGGGGGGGGGGTTTGTTTAGTGGGGTGATTGGGGGGGGGGGGGGGGTTTACACACATAAAAATACCAAAGGGGGGGGGGGGGGTTTAACCCCCCCAAACCCCCCCCCCCACCTCCGTGTACGCGCCTGATACAGGCACGGTGCAGCCCGCCAATTTGCATATCGTTAACTGCACATTTGCTTCAAACGCCCAACGTACTTCTGGCGGCCTGAGTGCTCTCAGTTATCAAAATGGCAAAAGGATGCATCTAAATTGTGCTGCTGTTTTTTTGGAGATTTATGAGCCCAAACTATCCTCATGAACTGATTTGTAGTTTCAAAATGCCTGTCTGAAAAAAATCACCAATTTGCATCTCATTAACTACACATTTGGTTCAAATACCCAATATACTTCTGGCGGCCTGAGCGCTCTCAGTTATCAAAATGGCAAAATGATGCGTCTAAGCGTCGCTGTTTTATTTTATTGGTTAGCCCAAATTTTCCAAGTGAACTAATAATGGTTGTCTGAAAAAAAATCTTGAAATGTGATGTTTTGTTGAGTTATTGTAACATTTTGAAAATAAATTGTCTATATTCTATGCCCCTTCTGCACCATTACGTCTGTATAATTTTTCTTTGTGTGCAGGTTGGGTAGCATCACTAGCATGGTCTCTGTGTCTACTCTCTCCTCTCATCACGGCCCTTTATCAACGTGTGGGTCCCCGCCTTATCTCAAGCCTTGGCATCATACTGTGCTCTATCGGCCTCTTCACCTCATCATTCGCTCAGAACATCTGGACACTTTACCTCACTTTCGGCATGATATTCGGAGTGGGTGTCAACTTTCTCTTTGTGAGCTCTATCAACCTGATAACATCGTACTTTGATGGTCATGAATGCACCATGCCCACGGTTCTGCCCGGAGTCGGTGCTACGGCTGGTAAAAGCTTTTATTAAAACTTATAAAATTGATTACACCCCATTTTCATGATGAGGTTGAATAACAGACTTAGTACTGACAGTTGATTACCACATATATTAGGCTGTGGACTTGTGTGTCTTCAGGGGAGACGATATGCTGTCATGATCGAGGAAGGAAGGGGGAGGGGAGCATAGCTAAGCAGATAAGATTTTCTGAAAAGTCCATTTCCATTCCATTCCCCCTCATCTCTCTCCCGGAAAAAGGCGATTTACATTTTGCAGTATATTTATAATTTTGTTGCAGAGATCTTGGTGGGGGGGGGGGGGGGGGGGGGGGGGGGCTGGATGCAATCCTAACCCTTCAAAACTCTGACTAAATATAGAGGAGGTTGAGTTCTGGGGAAAGGGGAAAACAATTTGTAAGCGTTATCATTGTTTTTATGTAAGTGTGGAAGAACATCAGAGAAAAAATGTTCCCTGAAAAGCATGGCTCTTCAAATGCCTATTATAAATATTATGAGGAACACCTTAAAATCGAGGCCCAATTTTTATGCCACATGTTTGTGTAATCCCGTTAGCATCTTTCTGTGTACAGTGATTATTACTTTTTACCAAGACTGGGCCAAAATTCTTATCATTTTGATGAATCCAGAATCTTGCAGTACACACCAATACTTATATGCTACATGATCAACTTTTTTAATCGATTCCACACTTTCACAATGCAATCGCATGACCATAACTCAACTTTTATCTTTAAGTGTTGATTGGTGCTGATTGCTACCAAGCTTGGCATAAACAGGGACCTAATGAGGCTACATGCTGGCTAACAGATTCTTTTCATTTGCTCATTTTACGCCTCAGAGAAGCCAGCATCCCAAACGAGTGCATAATATATTCAAGAACTGACCTATATATGTGATCTCATATAAAGTAAAGGTTACAGATAAGTTGTAGTAATCATTTCTGGGTTGTGTCATTGTGCTTGACAGGTATGCTGGTCTTCTGCCCTGTTCTGGAGATTGTCTTCACCAGCTATGGTTGGAGGATGTCCCTTTGTGTTATTGCTGCTATAATCCTAGTCACTGGTCTCGCTGGATGCCTGCTCTTCCGCTTACCCCCGACTCCTGAGATAGGATGTGGTAAGGATGAACAAGGAGAACTGGAGAAGTTTCAACTGAAGGCACTCCGAATGAAAGAGACAAGAGAAAAGGCAAAAAAATCAAGAGCCAACTACAAGCAGTTACTGAAAGATCCGATGCATTGGGTTTTCGGAGTTGCTACTCTCATTTCTAGTATGACACTGCTCTGCAGCGTAATAAATTTGGTAAGTTAAGTTTATTTGCCATTTCAACTTATTTAGAAAAATAAAGAAATAGAAATCAAATTTAAAACAAATTGAATAGTCAGGAAGATAAATATGAATTTGTAAAATATTTAGAATCGTGACATCTATGTACATCATATCTTAATTCTGTATTCAAAATCTGATAACTTCAATGAAAGATCTATCGTTATATTTACTTCAATGTCACTTCATTTTGTACACTCTTTGTAAAACAGTTGATCCACATGTTGACACAAGTGTATGGTTTTGAACACCCATATAACTTTTGAAGGGTTGTCGATGTTAAAGATGCTACCATTTTATTGTTAATATGATGCTAGCAATGTATTGTTTTAATTTTTTTTTTTTTTTTTTTTGGGGGGGGGGGGGTCAAAACAACAACATTAATTTTGTGTATTTATACATTCTAGATATAAAACAAAGCTTTCAGTAGACAATTCTAGACTCAAGATCATTGCTTTCCATCAATCAAGACTATGTCTTTATAGCCAGTTATGTCAACATTTGAAAATAATAGTGTTTGAAATAACAATCTTTTACAACAAAATTATTTAGCCTTTTGTCCCAAGGACATAGATAAAAGATTTCTTCCACCTGTCCCAGCATATGCCTAGCCATGCCTCTTTCTTATACATACAGCCACTAAGAGTCTGCACCATAAGCGTGTGATCTGATGATGTGTGTTCATACTGTTCTTCATCTGAAAACTCTCCGCAAGAGGCACCAACCCTTGCATTTACTTCTGAGTTGGGTCTTTTCCTGAGGTTGACATCCTCTCAGTCTTCAGGAGATGTGGCTATGATGTGGGATATTGAGCTGAGCTCGGGGATGGTCTACGATGGACTTTAAAGAAGATGATGACTTCCTCCGAGTACATCATGCTTGAACGAACCTTCCTCTATATATTTAAGTTATTTCTATATCTATTTAACAAAGACGAAAATTGTTGCCTCTGCCTTGCCAATATTTCACCAAAATGAAATACGTATTTTTCGTAGTCCTTCCCTCGTTATCCCTGATATTTTAAAAATAAATCTTTGCTGATATCTCCATGTTATATCTTTGCAAGAGATACTAGATTAGTCAAATGAAAACGACATATTTATAATGGGTCCTGTTTTATTGAGTGAGAAAATGTTTGATGCAGTTCAAATTTTCAGAAGATTTGAAGTGGCTTGGGGTGATAAAAAATGTACTACTTTACTCCTTCTAATGTCTGAATTTAACAATGGACATAGTCTCTTTGAGCAACTGAATGCTCCTGGTTTATAATCATCACAGTAGAGAGACAGAACAGGGATTGATTTATGAAGACACTCATGTGGCTGCTAGGCTCTCCTACATCATAGTAGGTTATCGATTCAAGCCTTTTGTTCTAAGACTTAAAGAACACCTTATGGGTATGAAAGTATTATTATTATCCCAAAACTTCACTATTCCATAACATAGATTTGGGGGCATATGCAACATGACGTACTTGTCATAGAGATATAGGAATACTGGATAGTAGTAAGTTCGTCAGTCTGGTACAGAGGACAGTGCCCAGCATCGTTCCTCCATCTGCACATCGATTAGTGTTCTTCGATTCTTCCCTTCGTTTGTTGGTCGAGCAAGTCGCGTGATGAAGGCCGGGAAAAAGATGGCCCAACAAGAAATTGAAAGTCATCAGGAATTACCCTGACAACTTTCAAACGTTGTTGGCCTTTGGAATGTACCAGCCCGTAAGTTCTATAACCCCGTGCAGGCAGCGCCAGTCTTTCCTCTGTCATAATTCATTCAGTCTGAAAGGACCAGCATCGCAGTGTGGTACAACACAAAATCATAGATCTCCATCCTGTTGGGCCTTGTGCCCATTTTTCAAAAAAAGGCTTATGTTAATACATGCAGACAACATTTTATTAATGAATTCTGGAAGTCTCAATTAAAAATGCATAATTAGAAAATTATGGAAATTTTAATTTCAAAATTTACTACTTTGTAATAGAAGTTAAGAAACTTTCAACACATTTTCCTTTTTAGGTGAGAAATGTAAATTAGGTCTAAACTGTCAAGTATGAATTCAATATTAATTCAGTCACCCGCAGGTCCTCACACTTTGATCATTCTTGCCCTATATCTACTCACATGGGGATAAATTGAATAAAAAACAAATCCATAATAATTTGTTCTGTTTGTGCAAACTAAATCAGTTTGTTGGATGAACTTGAATCCAACTGAAAGCTTTGCTGTATAACCGGGATTTTGCAGTAGGTTCTTAGAAAATGACAAATTTAGACACAGAAATAAATAAAATAAGAGGAGAAGAAAGAAACCATAAATCTCTAAATAGTTTTTTGATGGTGACTGGTGCTGCCTCTACGCTATGATTGAGTTTGTCCTCTCTTGCTGACACGTTTATCTTTAGGGTCTCTGTGGTAAGTAGTGTGCCAATACCAAGCTCTCAGTATCGCTTCACCTATATCATTTATTTTGTATTGCTATTTGTGGTTCATTTTGATTAACATTTCTCCAAAGTGTAAGTGTGTGAATATAACCAAGGGAATATGCTGCAATTGTGAAGAGTAAGCACTGCGCACATTTTTCCTTCTTATTTTAATCATCACATAATTAATCTTACGCCCCAACTAAGATCCATGCTAAGCTTAAGATGATGTAGGTCAGCACTGCCGAGATGGGCCCTATTAAATCATCCCAGTAGTATGCTCAAATATAGGGTAGAATTCATACGTATTTGAGATATCAAAATTGTATTTGAATACTACAATCTATTTAAACACTTTCTCTTTGATAAAATCTAAAATTATCTACTTACTCTTAGGGCAAAATTCTTTGTACCCATTGCTTTCATGGAATACTCTTTTTTTTGCTAAGACTTATTTCTCAGCAAAAATATAAGAAAACTTTCTTAAATTTCAAGCTTAAGACGTTTATTGAATAACTTAATAATTGAATAACTGAATAACTGTTTAGTCAGTAAAATCAGTCATTCCTGGAATTATCTCAAACAAAATGATGACGGTATGTTTTTTTAATCAATTGGCATTTTCATTTGAGAGAACGAAGCGAGTGAGTTTTTAAAAAATCCACACTCGAAGCTACTCAAGGCATTGAAATGAATGGTTTATCTGAACTATTTATAGTCAGTCACGTATCACGTTATATATTACAACCAACATTTCCTTTTAAAAATTCCTAAGCTACTGACCTGGCACAAAGTGTAATGGAGTTCTGGATTTCATCATATAATTGGTAGGTATGATACTTTTGGTTATAAAGCCTAGTCAAGGAGATACCATATAAATGGCCAGGAGAAGCTTTTGGAATTAGGTTATATTTCTAGTTGAGCAAATGAAGAGAGCAATTTTTTTTTAAAATCACATATTCTGTGATCATGTGATGTTTACGGTCCATATCTACAGATGAACCTCCTGAAAGCAGTATTGAGCGGGAGAAAATTGCCCCCTTGCCAACATTTGCCCACGCTAGTGGTTGCTCCTCTGTTATCATTGATTTTTCTAATACTGCAGTAAGAATTCTTTTAGTTGTGTTGGTATATCATTTAGATTACCAATGCTTTATATAATATTGACTTCATCTTGATATTGAGTCTTTTCAATTTGTTGATAATTTATTTTTATTTAATACATATATTTGAAGTGATAGTGAGAGCTTGATTTGTCTAATGCAGTTGTTGGGATTGCATTTCATTATTTGAACCGCATAAGTTACTAATCGCTATGTACAAGAAATTTGAAGAACTCTTTCTGGCCCTTGCTATTAATTTGAATTGCCAAATATATTTGGTATGATTTTTATTGTGCTCTGTTATAAAATGGGCCTCATTGCATGCTCATTGCATGCTCTAAAGAAGATTAAATAAAGAAATACAATTTCTAATGTATGTGTAAATACGATTGCAACATTACTGTACAATTTTCTTTTCTCTCTTTGACTTTATGTAACCGAGAGAATTTATCCGTCGTAAACATGTGCATGTAACAATGTTAAACTGCTTACTTTGTTGCTTCTTCAAATTTCTTCCCAGGCGAGTAGTACCTGTAACAGATTTCGGTTCCTTTCTTGATTGGTTGTTGGATAAGTTTCATTTACGCACCTTTACTAAATTTAACATGATCAAAAGTCAGCAAAACTTGAGCAAAATGCTTCGACCATTTCAAATAATAGGCACAAGAAATAACAGACCCTCCAAATGATATAACTCAAGCCCTTTATTGCCTTGGAAATCACGCAAACAAATTGCAAGGGCTATGATTAGTCAGTTTCATCAGGACTCTCCGCTGGCTTACAACAATTTCTTTTGTATTCATCACCAGTGTCGTCACAATCTTGAACCCTCTTCCTACTATTGGTCATGCGAGCATTGATCTCTCCCTTTCTCTCTCTCTCTTTCTCATTTCCTCTCTCCAGCTCTCACTCCCCTCTCTCTCTCTCAATCTCTTGCTCTCTCATCTGAAGAATATTGTTATTTGAATGCTTATAAGATCAGGGTTGTCCTTTTCTTCTTATTGTTTGTATATTTTAAATGCAACATGTGCAGAGTATGGAAGTATTATTAGTGTGGGGACTCTCATAAAAGAGTGGAAAAGAATTACCAAAATAATTTTTCAGACATGCCAACTCTGCGTTGTCCCATGATATTATGTTGACCGTCCTTGAATATTGTGGAATTGGATTAATATTAGTTGGGGATTGTTTCCAATGGTTCACTAAAATAATCATCTTGCCTTTTGTGCATGTTAAAAATGTTATTCTTGTTATGATTCCAATAGGATGTTGTGCTTGGTAACACTAACCTGATATAGTTGATTGCAGTTGATGTACATCTTATGAGATGATAAATAGTATGAAGGAAATGAAACAATGAAATGCCAGAAATACAAACGGAAACAACAAATGATGTATACTTGCCTCGAAATGGAAAATTTCTTGTATATATCACATCATAGAATATACATTGGTTATTGCTGTGAAGGTAACAAATTATTTGATAGTTTACAAGGATTTATGCTTCTCTGTCTTAATAATGTTCTTGCGCATGTCTTTACAACCAATTACAATTGAATATGAAGTTTCCAGTATTATTAGTATTTTATAATGATGGTGATTTTTAGAATATACACATGTCACACATCAGCAGACTGGCCATCTAACAATGATTGTTTTATGTTATATTTCATGAAGCTGTATGTGTTATATAAATTTAATGCCGAATGGCGAGTTTGATTTAAACAGACCAAAAAGAATAAGATGCTGTTATTTATATTTCCCTACATGCTCCATTAATAATTTTGTACTATTATATAACAACAAGTGGTAGGTCATGATACAATATGACCAGTGATATTGAAACAGACTGATCAACTTTCGGTCTCCTAAGCATCAATTTTTATAATCCATGTAATTCTTCACATAATTTTTTTTTGACAAGAATGTAAGTATTAAGATAAGGAATTATCCAGCATAGCATTTGTTTACAAATACATTTATACATACACATACAGTTGTATCTTGTCACCGTTTACAGATGTTGACGGCAGCCTTTTTTTCTCTGCTTCTCCCCTCTCATTTAAGGTGGAGTTGATTTCCTTAGCTGGTTACAGCGATGAAAGATCAGCATTCTTTATGTCCATCCTTGGGTTTGTAGACACAGGAGGACGTCTTATCATTGCTTTCTTTGGTGATAAACTTCCATGCTCCCGTATTCTTGTTATGCCTGTTGTATGTTTACTGACTGGGGCAGTCACATTCTTATTGACCATTACAAATCAGACTGCTGCAATAATTACCTATGTTACTGGTGAGATGATTCATACTTTTAACACTTCATTGAGTTACCATTAACAAGTTGTTGTTGACTAAGAACATGTGTATCAAGGATTTATTGAAAGATGGGATGTTCAATGTATCTTATAGAGAGGGACGCAAGCAAAGCTGTACCAGGATATTATATGGGGCTAGTTTTGATAAGAAAGGAGCCTCATGTGCCCACTCCCTGTGAATCTGCCATGGCTTAATTCAAATGCGCAATATGTTCCTAAATGGCTCGTTTTAACCCTATTCTCACTTAAGATTACTGTAGAGGGGAGGGGAGTCAATATGACTCGCACTTCAAGATCTCAACCACCGGTAATTCAGATGTGAGTTTTGCAAAATTAATACTGTACAATTTTGTTTGTTTGCTTATTCTTTACTTCAAAGCCCCACTGCATTACTTATAGCTACTTGCGCCCTCTATACAGCGGTACCCGTTGATCCCCCATGATGCCCTTTTTCTTATGTTAATTGAGAGCTGATTTGATGAGATAACCACCTGCCAGTGACCTTGCAGGGAGGTCTAAACCCTCTATGTCAAACTAGTGCAGAGGGGCTTTAACATGTTTTATGTAAAATATATACCTATTACAAACTTTACCCCCCCCCCCCCAAAAAAAAAAAAAAAAAAAAAAAAAAAAAAACTTTTGGGATATCAGCCATAGAATGACCAACAATTCTGAAACTTTGCATATAAATAGAGCATCTCCTAAAAAATAAGCCCCTAAAGTTTTGTATCTATATCGCAAATGGTTTTTGAATTATTGCTAATTTGCTATTAAAAAAAAATGTGTAAGACTTACAGCTGGCGACAAAAGCATGAAAGCTCCCGGCACACACAAAAAAAACATCCTTGAAGGTATCGTGGGGCACAGCAAGGGAGGGGGGGGGGGGGTGGGGGTGGTGGTTGGACTCTGCCATCGGCCCTTTTAGGGTGAATGATACTCGCCATAACATGAGGAATACAAAAATCTTTTTCATCAATATCTGAGAAATCTAGTTGACACTAGCACATTGAAATATTTAAGATGTTTCAAATCTTCTTTATGAATTTGTATGTAATCTACAGGTATAGTATTCTTATACATGTGTATTACTTTGTATTTTTATTTATTTTAGAAGTTTATTTCAAAGAATTTTTGTATGTTCAAAATCAAAGCCTAAAGACCCAATTGGCAGTGATTCAGAACCAATAAAGAATTGCGCACATAGATTTTGCACAAACCAATATGCAAAATGTTGAATTTTGTTCACTTCTGTAACAATGAAATGTTGTCACCAAATTTTGATGAGGGTAAAAAAAAAAGGGTCAAAGGCATGCCACCATCTTTAGGGGTTTCAATAGTCCTTTTCATGATGGTGATTTTCAGCAATAGTTACTCAATATATGGTATAATTTCAGTTAACTGGGTTATCAACCATTTCTCTCATTATGTAATGGAATAACCATACTCGACATCATCTTTAATCGCTGAACAACCGTAGTTAATCTTTTGGCCCGAATTCACAAAGGAGGTTTACATTTAATCCATGGTTTAAATCCTGATTTACATAACCCACTGTTTAAAGTTAGCGTGAAATAAGTGCAACACAGACAACAGGTCCAATATTAGATGTCTCAAGGCAAGGTACGCTTATTTTTGCGCCTATTTTTAAACCATGGGTTAAATGTAAACCTCCTTTGTGAATTCGGGCCTTTAAGTCTAAATTTGAATATACGTAGGAAATATTTTTTAAAGTTTGAATTTTTGCTATTTTGTTTCAGTGGTTGGTATAGCACGTGCCATCCTCTATTCCATCATGTATGCTTCATCTGTGGAGACCTTTGGTCATGCAGTCCATCAAGAGTCCTTTGCCATCCTGCTGTTGATGAATGGTGTTGGTTGTCTTTTGGCGCCGCTCATACCCGGTAATAGTTTCCTTTATGATGGTACACTCGTGTCCTTCAAGTTACCTTTATGACACCACTTGTACCTCCAAGCTTTCCTTTGTACCACACTTTTCTCGGGTTTTATCAGTGAATTTCATTATATAGTACAACTCGTAGTCAGGAAGTTAGTACGAGGTCCAAATTTTCCAGATCATAGACCCAGGGGTGTGTTGAACTGAATTACTAGAATACAAGCTTATAAAATACAAGCTTATAATTTGATTTTAATAGCACCATAGTATTGGGCAAGTTTCCTATTATTGTACCCTCTTGTTCCCTTTATGCCACCACTGGTACCACTCCTTTCCCCTAATCTCCCTTTATTTTACCTGCAAACATCCCTCTAGGTTGACACTCGTATCACTCAACCTTCTCTTTATGAAAGGATCCAGCTACATATGCGTATTTCACAGTTTGGTATCACTAATTTTTTTTTTTTTGGGGGGGGGGGCAGTATCCCCTCCCCTCCCCCTTTAAAATTTAAAAAGGGAAGATTTTTTTACTAAAGGGCAAATCATTTAGCATGGAACTTATACTTGGAACAGTGGGTTGAATACACAGTATAATCGAATATGAATGTTTAGAGGAAGAAAAATAGCTTCTGTTTCCAATCTATGTCTTATTTTAAATTAATTTTTAATAGGTTTGAGTTTCGATCTCACCGGTTCCTACAAGATGGCCAACTACTTCTTCAGTTTTCTGTGGCTGGTAGCCTGTGGCAAGTTCCTTGCTGTGTATATAATGAAGAACTACCGCAACAAGAAGATGGTCAAATCTAAGAGCGATAAGCTAGAACAAGAAAAAGAGGAAGCGCACAAAGTGAAGCGAGGCTATGGTGTAGATGCAAGCAGCGATTTTGAAGATGCAATGGAACCGTTAACCGTAGAACCACCACCTCGCAATAATCATCTCAGTGATCAAGTTCCTGATGTCATACTGCAAAATATCAAAATCCATAACATTTCATCAGTGTAAGGCATATATGTATATGATAATCTGTACTACAGATATAGGGGAGAGGAATGATTCGCTGTTTTGTATGGAGTGTTGGTGAATACCTCTTTTGATAATGGGCAATGCAAATAACATCTGATTGACAGTGTCAACTAATTCCTTAATTTCTAAACTATTGTTCAGGTTTCATGAACTCTCCCGATGGTTTAAAGAGATCTATGTAGGCCTCATCATAATTCAAAAATTGTTTCAACAGTGACGTCTACTTTTTTGAAATTGTTTTGAAATCTTTATCGAACCCGTTCTATGTAACTAGTTTCTTTCAACTTTGCTCACATAGTCATATCACATCCTGAATTTGGCATTGATTCAAACATGCATGAACATCTTAAAGATCTTTGCGGCTTTTGCTCTTTCATGGGCATTTATCTTCCTGACAACAAATTAAAAAACCCTTTTTATGTCATTTGTTTCGTTGAATTAGGCACAGAATTATTATTAGTCAAGATCATACCGGATGTTGATAATCACTTATGTATGGCAATCTAGGTGTCATTTTTTTCAATTTCTCTCATGCATTAGGGCTTGCATTGATCTGATTTTTTTATTATATGTACATTATGGTTGTCCTTACCATATTCGTGCATAAATACTGACACCTTTTTATTGCTTATTTGACCAACAACATAATTACTTTTTACATTTAAAAATCATTTATCTTAAACTTTAAGGGCAAGTTACTATGACAGAAGCAGGAAAGTCAGAGAAGCAGAATGGTAAAAGTTTCAACGAGATTTGATCAAATAATAAGACACTTTTACAAATGTTTTAAAAGTAGCATGCACTATTCATTTTGTGAATTTCAACTTTGATGAATTTTTATGCCTCCGCCACCGAAGGTGGTGCCGGAGGCATCATGTTTTCGGGTTGTCCGTCCGTACGTCCACTGGAGATTTAAACTTCAAACTTAATGATAGTGTGTATCACCATAGGAAGACAATCTGATTAGATTTTGTAGCACGTAGGTCAAAGGTCAAGGGTCACAGAGGTCAACTTATGAAATTCCATACATTGAGATCGTTATCGCGATATCTCAAGAACCACTGGAGAATTTTCACTTCAAACTTAATGATAGTATGTATCACCATATCATAATATCTCAAGAACCACTGGAGATTTAAACTTCAAACTTAATGATAGTGTGTATCACCATAGGAAGACAATCTGATTAGATTTTGGAGCACGTAGGTCAAGGGTCACAGAGGTCAACTTATGAAATTCCATACATTGAGATTGTTATCATGATATCTCAAGAACCACTGGAGATTTAAACTCCAAACTTGTTTAAATTGCTCTATGGCGGAGGCATCATTTTCGACTGCGCGCAGTCAAAATTCCATCTAGTTATCTCTGTGATGTAGTCAGACAACTCCTTTATTTTTCCCAAGACACAAAGCGACTTAAATATAAATCCTTGAACTCAGGAATTTTTTCCTTTTCGGAAGAATTGTTTTGAGGAAAAAATATAGGAGAAAAACGGATTAGACTATATTTAAGAGTACATCAAAAGGAAAGTCATCCATGTATACATTAGCATTCAAAAGTTTTATACATAAGATACTATATTAAATATATTTGTGAGGGACGAAAATGGGAGGATAATGGTGCGAAATGTTATCAAAGTTCCCCATTGCCGTTCTCTCATTTTAGATATTTGCAAAGGTTGAACAAATGTCTCCGCCGGGAATCGACCCTGGGTTCCTGATAAATCTTCAGCCTTTATGATCAATTCTTTGTCGGGATTTGATGAGTTTTGAACAATGACATTCCCAGTGCCTCTCTTTGATCACAGCGTTGAGCTTGATTACATACAGTCAGAATATTTATTTATTTATAATACTGTATAATGAAAGAAATTTGACGAATGCAAACAAATTTGGCGTTTTTTTTTAATGTTGGTCAAATGAATCGGGTTTCATCGAAACCACTTGCCCGTCTCTGTAGAATAGTGGCTTAAGGAACATCCAAAAATTCTTGGCCTCCAAAGAAAGCATGGAGAAGCAGAAGTGTAAGATTTCGAATTAAATGAGACAAAATGTAAGAAAGTTTTTTATAATCTGCAGTGTGACAGGGCTCAGATGGGCTTCTGTTGCTAGCAAGGCAAGTCATTTTCTTTCCGAGGGGTAGGAAAAGCCCAGAGAATGCGACATTTCAGGGATCATAGCGGTGAAATGGAGAAGATCAAAGTTTGCATTCAAATGACGCGCTATGAAAATTACATTTTTGTTTTATGAGGGAGCGCCTCTACCGAGCAAGAAAATTTGCATTCTGAAGATGGAACACTTTCTTTGGGGCGTTTTCTATATTTTGGAGGGGAGGGCGACGACTCCATTACACATTTTCAAGGAGAGATATCTCTCATTCTTTCTTAATCTCTTTTGAGGCACTATTTGAAATTTTCTTTAGCTTCTATGTCATTGTTATGATTCTTGTTATTATTGTCATTATCACCATAGTTACTATTATTTGCTGTATTATTTCTCGTTTTTATATATAGAAATACAGAATACACATGTAAATATATATATATTTGTATATATGATATAAAATGAGTTGAAAATAAATTAAGGATTCTGTGAAACGTCTAAAACTTTTGAATGTTTACCCATTGGGCTTCATCATGAAATAATTTTATTATGGAGAGAACAAAGAAAGAAAACTAAAGAAGAGAGCAATTAAAGAAGAAAGGAGAGGGAAAGAAAACCTAAAAGGTATTGAAAGGTGAAAGAGAAAGAGAGAACAATTACGAGGCAGGAAAGAGACAATGAAAAAGCAAGGTGAGGGAAAGAAAGAAATCGATGAAAGAGGAGAAAGAAAGAACGAGAAAGAGGGAAAATGAGAAAGGAAAAAAGAAGAGAAGGGGAGAAAATCAATTGATGTGAAAAACTCTAAAAGGCACATCAATCCCATGTCTTATCAACTTAAAAAGGCTTTGCATGACATATTCTCTGTGGTACAATTTAGTCACGTATGGTGAAGTTGCCTTGGGCCCACTGAATTGGCGTCCATTAGTGAGAGCAGGCGCGGATCCAGGATTTCTTGGGGGGGGGGGGGGGGGGGGGGCCAAATTTGAATTATGCGAGCCAAATATTGGTTCGTAATGGTGACCAGCAGTGACGTAATTTTTTTTTTTGGGGGGGGGGGGGGGTGGGTGCAGGGAGGGGAGAGATTCCCCCTCCCTCCTCCGCGAAGCGCGGAAGCTTTGACATTTCAATAAATTATTAGAGAAAGAAGACGATTCGTGGTACCGTTCCTAAAAAATAATCCTTGTCTGAATTATGTTCCCTCCCGCGTAAAGCGCGGAAGCTTCGACGTTTCATTAAATTATTTGAGAAAGAAGACGATTCGTTGCAGACGCGGATTCAGGATTTCATAGAGATGGGGGCCCAAATTTGAAATCAATTTGAAATTTAGTGTGCTGAAATATGAAAATCGTGCCGGGGGCGGGGGGGGGGGGGGGGTAGTGAGCACTAATTTTATTTTTTGTTGGTCCCCGAAAATGTGAAAATGTGCAACCCCTCCTCCCCTTGAACGCCAGGGGGGGGGGGGGGGGTCCATCTCCAAAAAAAGGTAAAATTAACGTTAAAAAAGGTAAAAATACCAATTTTTTTCTCCCAAGGGGGGGGGGGGGGGGGGAGGAGTCCGGGCCCCCGGCCAACCTGGATCCGCCACTGATTCGTTGTACCGTTCTCGACTCTTAATCCTTGTCTGAATTTCAAAAATGTTCTTTGTCTTCTCACTTTTCTTCCTACGTCCTCTTCCTTTTTACTCCTCTCTTTTTTGGCCAGCGTTTTTTGGGGGACCACCCCACCGCCCCCCTGGCTAGGCGCCTGCGGTCAGATGAACATATGTTGATACCTTGTCCGCCCCCGGAAGTTCAGGGGTTTAAGGCAATAATTTATGGTCAGATTAGCATTCAGGGGTCCGCCCTAGGCAGGGTCCAGGGGGCAGTGCCCCGGAAGTTCAGGGGGTTTTAGGCATTTATTTACGGGCAGATGAGCATTATTTTGATACCTAATAATTGTGACACTGCGAACTGTAACTTTTTATCCGCTATGACAACTTCGTATTTTCTCGAAGTTTCACTTTCCTATAATATCAGCTAAAGAAATCAGAGGTTTAAAAATTTCGGGGAAACTAAATGCAAACAAGGATTAAGAGTTGACTCTTCCTTTCTCTAAATGTTGATGAAACGCAAAAAATTCCGCGCTTTGCGTGGGAGGGGGAAACCGAATTCAGACATGGTTTAAGGAATCGTCTACTTTCTCTTATAATTTAATGAAATGTCAAAGCTTCCGCGCTTCGTGCGGGAGAGAGGGGGAGAAACTGAACTCATACAAGGATTAAGAGTCGAGCACGGTTCAACATATCGTCTACTTTCTCTAATAATTTCGGGAAAGGTAAAAGATTCCGCGCTTTGCGCGAGAGGGAGAAACTGAATTCAGATAAATAGGGATTATTAAGAGTCGACAACGGTATAACGAATCGTCTGTTTTCTCTAATAATTTAAAGTAACGTCAAAGCTTCCGCGCTTCGCGCAGGAAAGGGGAAACTGAAATCAGACAAAGAATAAGAGGCGAGAACAGTACACACATCGTCTACTTTCTCTAATAATTTTAGGAAACGTCAAAGCTTCCGCGCTTCGCGCGAGAGGGGGAAACTGAATTCAGATAAAAGGGCTGAGGGCTGAATAAGAGTCGAAAACGGTGCAACGAATCGTCTTCTTTTTATAATAATTAAATCAAACGTCTAAAAAGCTTTTCGCGCTTTGCGCGGGAAGGGGGAAAGCGAATACAGACAAGGATTAAGAGTCGAGAACAGTACACCCATTCGTTTGCTATCTCTAATAATTTAAGGAAACGTCTAGGCTTCCGCGCTTCGCGCGAGAGGGGGAAACTTAATTCAGAATAGGGCTTTCAGAGTCGAAAACGGTGCAATGAACAACTTCTTTTTATAATATTTTAATGAAACGTCAAACTCAGCGCTTTGCGTGGGAGGGGAAAACTGAATTCAGACAAGGATTAAGAGTCGAGTACGGTTTAACGAGTCGTCTACTTTCTCTTCTGAATTAATGAAATGTCAAATCTTTCGCGTTTCGCGCGAAAGGGGGAAACTGAATTTAGACAATTAAGATTAAGAGTCAAGCACGGTCTAACGAATCGTCTACTTTCTCTAATAATTTAATGAAACGCCAAAACTTCCGCGCTTTGCGTGGGAGGGGGAAACCGAATTCAGACAAGGATTAAGAGTCGAGCATGGTTTAAGGAATCGTCTACTTTCTCTTATAATTTAATGAAATGTCAAAGCTTCCTCGCTTCGTGCGGGAGAGAGAGGG